ATGATCCATAATGCACTATATAACTCAGGATGTAGTTTGAACTACATGTATATACATGTAATCCTCAATGCAGAATACAATCCATGACGTAGTACATTCATAATAATCTCTGTTGTAATCCAGACTTTAACTCATTATTGATAAAGTAGTTCACTTCATATATTAACAATCCGAGTGGTTATGGTTGATCAGATGCAGCTAGATTCTCACTAAGTTTTATCTGCAGATCAAGGTACAACTGTTTCTACATCAGACCGTCCACACCTGGAATAAGGACTATGAGAGATGGCAACAGGGTATTGCTGGTGGTAGTCATAGTTGGTTGTATATATCTCATACACCCTGTGCCAAGGCCAGATGGAGCAAGATGTTACGGCAGCATTAAAGTGGAGAACAGTTTACCTGCGACCTTCTCATAACTCTGTATCCTGCAATTACAGTATCAAGACACAAATTATGTGTTATTCCAAACATATCAAGTTTTTTTTACATGGGATACCCTTTTATCTCCCTATGCAATGATTACTAAGAAAGTTCATTTTTTACTGTCATTTGAAAATAATCCCCTATTAGAAATCTTATGTATGACTTATAAAGTTAAAGTTTTAATTATTGTAGTCATCTAAAAATTCATATGCCCAATGGTATATATTGATATTGTAAAATGTATACTTCTTTAAAATAGTTAATCTCTTTCTCTAGTTGAAGAAGATTAGAATTTGATAACAGAGGCATTATACAACAGCATTTGTAAACAAGTCAAGGCATTGTTTTGAGAACTATCATTGAAGAAAATATTTTATAATCCTTAGTCCTTTGAGATATTTAAAGGGTAATATGCAACATGTTAATGCAAACAATTAAGTCAAAGCATTGTTTATAAATGCTATAATGTAAGAATGTATTGTATAATCATAAGTTCTTTGAAAATTTTAATCTCTTTCTTTTTGTCAAGATGAAATAGATTTTGCTTTGATTGGATTCTTTACTGGGAAAAAGGAAAATCAAAGTTGAAAAATGTTGTTGTATTACAAAGAAAGAACATTAGAATGTCAAAAATAAAGCCAGCGAATGGTTTTGGGTTAGAGCCGTTTTTTCAGTTTTGAACATTTTACATTGAGATCAGATCCCTACAATTGATTTTTTCTAAGTTACATCTTCTAAATTGAATATTGTTTTTGAAATTCTTTTTATAATACTTTTCTTTACTAGGAAAAGGAAAATCAAAGTTGAAAAATGAATTTTTTATTTTTGTTATATTTCACTCCAACTGCATTAGCATTCTATAGGCTACAGAGGCTCACCAAACCATCAAATGCAAATAACCGTAAAATGTTGAAATCATGAAATAATTTAGTGATTTTTTTTTCAAATGAGTGCGCCATGTTGTACATATGTATATTACAAGGAAAGAACATTAGAAAGTCAAAAATAAAGCCAGTGAATGATTTTGGGTAAGAGCCATTTTTTCAGTTTTGAATATTTTACATTAAGAGTTCAGTAGGACCAATCCCTAAAATTGCTTTTCTCTTAGTTACATCTTCCAAATTGAATATTATTTTTGAAATTATCTTTATAATACATTTCTTAACCAAGAAAAGGGAATATATAAGTTGAATTAAAAATGAATTTTTTATTTTTGTTATATTTCACTCCAACTGCATTAGCATTCTATAGGCTACAGAGGCTCACCAAACCATCAAACGCAAATAACCGTAAAATGTTGAAATCATGAAATAATTTAGTGATTTTTTTCAAAAGAGTGCGCCATGTTGTATATTACAAGAAAAGAACATTAGAAAGTCAAAAATAAAGCCAGTCAATGATTTTGGCTAAGAGCCGTTTTTTCAGTTTTGATTATTTTACATTGAGTTCCGTAGGACCGATCCCTAAAATTGATTTTCTCTTAGTTACATCTTCCAAATTGAATATTGTTTTTGAAATTATCTTTATAATACATTTCTTTACCAAGAAAAAGGAAAATCAAAGTTGAAAAATGAATTTTTTATTTTTGTTATATTTCACTCCAACTGCACTAAAGCATTCTATAGGCTATAGAGGCTCACCAAACCATCAAACGCAAATAACCATAAAATGTTGAAATCATGGAATAATTTAGTGATTTTTTTCTAAAGAGTGGGCCACCTTGTATATTACAAGGAAAGAACATTAGAATGTCCAAAATAAAGCCAGTGAATGATTTTGGGTAAGAGGCATTTTTTCTGTTTTGAACATTTTACATTGAGTTCAGTAGGACCGATCTCTAAAATTGATTTTATTTAAGTTACATCTTTCAAATTGAATATTGTTTTTGAAATTCTTTTTATATTACCTTTCTTTACCAGGAAAAAAAGAAATTAAAGTTGAAAAATGATTTTCTTTGTTTTTGTTAACTTGCTTAAGCTTGATGACATCACAATATTATATTATATCCTACCTCTAGTTATTTTTGAGACTATTGTTGCCTGGTTTAAATGAGTCAGCACAAACCACTGTTCATCTTTCTTGTTTTGTGTTGTGGTGTCCAAAACATTGAATTGCTCTTCTGGCTGAAATAACAGAAAAATCAACATATCTGTTTGAAAGGGTTTTGACCACTGGGTTATACTTTGACAATTATAGTAATGATACTTTTAAGTGCATTCTCACAAATTATCATTATACATATTATGTTATATTATTACAAAATAGCTACATGTTATACACAATGACACCATGAGGCATATATCAGGATTTACAAGAGCAAAATCCAATCAGACTATAAACTTAATGAAATATTGAGGAATCTGTTCAATCAAATGAAATCCAGTATTAGAACAATTTACATAGATACTAGAAATTTCTTCTTTTAGGTTATGCCTGGAACTAGTAACAATAATTATTTGAACATTAATATCAAACCTGATGACGATTCTAGTCTTGGGGAAAGCTTGGGTGGATGGAGGCAAGCTACACTTTCACACAGCCTTTTACTATTTCAGCATCATTTGGATCGGACTTTGTACAGCACTCTGATGGCGAGTTGTAATGCTGAAAGTGAACATTGAATGATTAGGATACACAAATACTGAATTATTAAAAAAAATGATGACTTAGAGAATGTAGATCTTATCAAGGCACTCATGAATGGACAATCTTGACTTGGAAGTGGTCGTATCTTGGTACAGTAGCAAAATGATATATAACAATATTTGAGCTTTAAAGCACTCTCATAACTGAGATGTTGAGATCGCAGGTGACACACATGTGTATTACGTTGAACTACCCTTTGCATTCGTTTGACTTCACTTCTGAAAAGAAAGCTTCATCTTCACTCTTTCATTTTACAATAAATCTCACCGAGCCAATCAGAGTTCATCGTCGAAATATAGACGACTTTCTATATGGTCATTTCCTCTGACATCCCCGCACAGTTAATGAGCACGTATTTTGCGTATGTTCCTTCCACTTTGCTGATTGGTTGAGAAAGGATCAGCATGGTAGATTTGAAATTATTGGGTTTACGAAAAAGACCGACCCCACCGACCACCGACCGGTCGATGTTTTCCACTGGTAGCCTCAAAACAGGGTTTGAAGAAAATGTGTAAAAGACCGACCATATCATGTAAAAGACCGAACATATTTGTAGCCTTAAAATATTAATAATTTGATTTTGAATGTCAATCGTTGGGACTAGGCAACGGTTTTTACCGATTTTGTACCTTGCAACGAATGGCAAGCAAACAAATTGGGCATGACCGTCTCCTCTCAATTAATTGTCCTGCCTTAGGTCCTAACCTATCATTAACCAACCTATCGTTTCTACGGGAATCTATCCTAATTTTTTACTGAAATTTAACAATTTCGAAACAAAAATGATTTGTTATCGTCATAGCCTACTGAATACTGAACACGATATTACATGCGTTCTCTTATCGGGATTAAAAGTGACTTGCCATTTCAGTACACCATTAGAAAGCTTTTTTTGTCATATCAAATGTAGTTTTTACCAGTTGACGTTTGACAACTGAGAAATCAAACATAACGTTACGACGTCAACATCGACGATGTTTGTGTGTTTTTGTTATTGCGTTTCATATGAATGAACTTAATGCAATGTTACGTGCGTTTTTTTCCAAAGTGACTAAACAGGATGAAATTGGTCTTCTAACTAATCACGACCTAGTAAAGGTACTATAGTCATTGGATTCCCAGTTTTAGTTTTACTTCTAAATGTAATTTTGCATTTTTTCATCTTTATGAAAAAGACCGTCGGTCGGTGTTTTTCGTAAACCCGAAATTATTTATTACCCGGGCTGTCACAGGCACCAATCTTCGGGGCGGGGTTGCTAAACTGAAGTATACTGTACAGTCTCAGATACTAGGCAGAGTGTAGTTTATAACTACACTCTGCGACTCTGCGCGCAGGGTAACGTTGAACTGACTTGACAGCAGGATCTCTGACTTACATGTACACTGGCTGCCTAGTCTATATCCAATATCAGACTAGAGGATACAGTATTAGTCTAACTGACCAGGAACTGATATCTGGCTTTTGATAGAGAAAATCTGTAGGATAGGGTCCTGGGTCATCTTTGACAAGACAGTTGAATCTTTAGACTTGTTGTAAACATCTCATATAAATGATATAACGATGAACACATACAACAACTTTTGGTTTTGTTATTACAAAGACCAGTGTTGGAAATGCTGATAAAAAGTTGAGAAATTTTTATTTTCCGAAAGCAACATGGCGTCAGAAAAAAATCTCGAAAAAAATACTTTTTTCTCTCTAAAATGTCACAAAACTACTTTTATTCTTACCTCATCAAGTAAAGTACAACTTCATTCATACTCTAGTACTATTATTTGACTTATATCAAAGTCTAATCAACCAATATCCAAGCCCCACGCCGCCACCTGAAAAGGGACACCTGGAAAGGGGCACCTAGGTGTGGGACACCTAGGTGGTATTTAGTAACACCCCTTATAGCCAATCAAAACATTTGTTTCAAATTACAGCGGGAGAGTCAAAACATCGCCATTTTAGAAATTATTCTTTTTCTTGCTGATATCTGTCAACTCTGGATGAATTATTCTGTAGAGATGTAGTTGAATGATGAATATTTAGGCGAAGAGTAGTAAGAATGATATTCGCTGTACATGAATGAACGATGGAGTCAGAATAAGGGTTACTCTACTGCAAAAATTGGAACCTAAAAATGAAAGATGGCTGACAATCTTTTTTGCCAAAAACTTCCAGTGTTGATAAAGTACTCGGATCTTGAAGAAAGGTATGGAACCTTTTAAATTAAAAATGTGAATATAAGTGTCTTCTTTCTAGATAACACAGGCACTTACATCGGCGCATACCAGCTTATTCCTGGAATAATAGTGAGTCATAACGAGATGGTCAAAATGAGCCCCACATTTGTATGGGGTTAGGCCTGGATTATTAGGCTGAGACTAAGCTTTAACATACTTTTATGTTAGTCTCAGGTTTAGACTATATCCTATCCTATATCCTATTCAGACTGACCTTTGTCATAATTACGACATTGCCTCATTTCCTCAGTTTATGATGGTCTCAGGTTTATGTCAGTTTGTGGGACTCGGGGTACAGTATAGGTCTCAACATGGGCTTTCAATAGAATGCGAATGGTCTCAGGTCAGTTGCCACTGTGCTGTGGGCAGGCTCAGGGACAAGATTTAAATCCCACTCTCTGTATACTGTAAGACCCAATACTGTGAGAGGGGGATGAATTCTTATTCCTGTGTCTGTGGCGCCGTTCATCTTATCGAGTGCTACGCCTATCCTAAAGTCAAACGTCAATAGTTTTCGGCAATAACCAACTACTTATTTCTTACCTCAATAGATTTTTACATTGATTTAAGAGGTGTTTACTTTGCTTTTTGAGTCAGCATATCAAGATTTTGGCGATAAACCACCAATATGACGATTTAGCACCTCAGATCAATTACATGTAAAGAGTAATCTAGTTTTTGCCAAAAAACTGTTTTTTCTTGAGGGAGAAAATATGATCAAATGACATCAGTCAGAATCTCGATATGGTGAATTCAGCCAGCATTTCAAACTGCCAGGTATAGCTCTCCATTCCAAAGGCTATGCCCACCCGATATAAGTTGTTTTGGTTTTTCATTTTTTCAGAAAATGCTCAATACAAGTGTCTGTTGATGTCCAGATTGCTACCTCTCCCCACCATAGAAAGGTATGGGAACAGTTGAAAAAAATATTGTTGTTTTTTGTTATTGAATAATAATAAAAGCAGGCTTCATTGTTTATTCATCCATCTTTATTTTTATCAAGTGTATAATTTTACATGATTTTCTCAAATATCTCAGTCATTCTTTTCATAAAGTGCCTACAGATTTTCAATGGGAAGGCATGTTATTTTTGACAAGATGCAGAATCCAGTTTCTCTTATTTTGGGAAGATCAGTGGGACTGTTAGAATATGCATATTTCATAATTGCTTTCAGGAGTTGGTGATCAGACTGACTGATGAAAATGATTTGTTTTTTCTGTATACATTGAAGCTGAATGAAGAGGATTTCCAAAGGTACACATTTTTATTCTTCGTTGATTTAAGCAAATAAAGACAACACATGAATTATTTTGTCAATGTTCTCGGGGGTTTCATTAGCTGCAGGCAACAGGCAATTTTCACCAGTTGTTTTCACAAAAAATCACCTGTTGTTTTCAGGGACTTCTCAAAATTTCCATGTTATATTTATCATTTCCATTAATTTTGCCTGTTGTTTTCATTTATTTAGCCTGTTGTGAGAAATTCTAATGAAACCCCTGGTTCTGGTAAATGGCCTGTGTCCATTACTAAAGGATTCCTCATAAAGACATCGCAAAGACAGTATTACCATACAAGGCCATTCTCTTGTAATGACTGGAATTGACTTTACTTACTGTGCCTACCTAATAGTAAAGACAATTATTTGACAAACTTGGAATTTATTGCCTCTTGTTAACTGAAAATTTATTTTATGACTATTATCTTTCCAATTTGTTAAATGAATTACAATATTATATTTGCAGTCTTAAAAGTCAACAGGGTCTATTGGTAGACTTCAGTTCTTTCCCCCAGAGTGTCATAGATCTGCTGGAACTGTGTCTCAAGGAAGAGGCTAATACAGTGCCCAAGTAAGTTAAAATACTAAACATGTCATATTACTGATACATAATTAAATTACCAGAGATCTCCCATGCATTAAAGCAAGTGGGCGCAGCACCAACCTGAGATTTTGAAAACGGATTTGCAACCACCTGAAAATCCATTTGCACCCACTTGAAATCATGAAAAACGGGCATATTTTGATCAATTTTGGTCTGAATTGTGAAAATAAGAATTTTGCACCCACTTGAGAAAAAATCCTGTGGAGAAAACAATAAAATACAAATCAGGTTCTATTCATAGGCCCCAGGCATGTGTATCATATTTATGTGTATCAAGTATCCCAAAACTCATGCAGGATAATTTCTATAGTATACTATAGATGTAGGTTATATGGTTTATTCATTTATGTTCATTGCCCTTTGTGACTTATCATTTGCAATTAAATCATATGTCAAGTCAGGTAACTGAAAAAAACATGCAAGATTGTCATTCATCAATAATTGAGAAACACCAAGGGAAACATTTGCATAATTCACTATTTAGTCTACACACTCATGCTTGCTTTTCAGGTTTGTGCTGCATTTGGTGACTACATCAAAGTTGGGTGTTAATTCTGGTCCCTCTCACCTGAATGTTGTTGAGACTAACCCATTCAAACACCTCACCCACCTCTCCCTCAAGTTGCTACCTGGATCAGACACAGACATTAAGAAGTACCTTGCAACATGTCTTAGTCAACTAAAGGTTTGTTTCCAAATTTTACCAATAAACTGCTTCCTAATGCCTCAGTCAGATTTGATGTAAGGCAACTGTACAGCCACCATAGCTTCCCAAAATCGTGAGAAATATGCAGATAAAAGTTTTCAGTTTTTATTGAAATATCTCAAAACTTTGGATATCTTGGTGCCAAGTAGATTCACTTGATGAATTTGTCTACACATTTTGAAACACTGAACATTTTATATACATGAAAAGCAAAGTGCTATATTCTTATCATTTATGTTAATTTGATGGATGTAAGGAATGTTGACAAAAATCTTGTCATCATCAAGAAAGCCATGCATTGGGATAACTTAATAATACTTCTACAATGCAAGAGCAGACTAGTGCCAAGATCTGATATGGGTTTTGGCATTGGTGATAATTTACAAGGCAGCCATTTTTGTTTTTTTATTTGTGATATTTATCATTATGTGTTGTGATTTCATATTTGCTTATTTGACTGTTGTCTAGTCCAACATCAGTCTTTTTTCTATCATATCCAAAATGTTTCTATTTACCATTTTTCAGGAGTATACCACTAAACTAGAGCGCAGTGCTGAAAACAAGGAATCAGACCTAACACAGAGGCTTGCACAGACCCAACAGGTGGGGGACAGTCAAAATGTGATTTTTCAATTAAAGTTTTGTCAAGAAGGATTATACCCCTTCTATTTCTGTTCATTATAAATGATATCTTTTTTTTACAAAAATAAAAGTTTGATATTTACCCCTCTCCAAAATAAAAAATTACTCTGACAAATAAGAGATCAATAGTTGACCCTATATATGATGAAAGTTGTATTGATATCCTCAACTATAATCTCAATGAGTCTCCTAGCAACATGGACTAAGAACATCCATGCTAGCATCTTTTATATATATGTAGTTGTCTGTGTGTACATTTTAAAGTCTCAATTCAAGATTTTTGCTTTACCATGAAATAAAATGTGCATGTATTGTCTTGAAGGCTAGATATTTCTCATAATTCTGAAATGAAGTCAATTTTCGACACTGAAGAGTTAATCTTTTACATTCTACGCTTTGAAACAAGCAAGCCATTGATGTTTATTTCAGGCACTGTCAGCCAGGACTAGAGAACTGGATAGCTTGAAAGTAGAGTGGGAGTCCCGCACCAGTGAGCTCTCATCAAGACTAAGTAAAGACATCAACACAGAGCGTGAACGAGCTGTACAGGTAAGTAGGCATCCTAGGTGGTGTGTACTGTGTACAGTAAAGTCTGTATAAAGTGAATGCTACTGGTAGTGTCAACTTTATGAAATTCTGATGTAATAAGACTTGAAACTTCCAAAATTTGGAACTGGGAGTGTTCAACTAAGATTAATATTCACAAATGTGTTCACCAATACAGTTTTTTGTACTCCCTGGATATGATCTCACACTCTTTTAAGCATTGAATAATCTGCTTAAACTGGAGCTTTGTTACTTTGAATATAATTAACCCAAAACCCATGGAGGAGATGCTGTCATCCTTGGTACCATATATAGACGTACAATGAAGAAAAAATATTATCCCCATGTGTAGAAATATTATTTTTGGGTTCCTTGAATTCATTATTCATTCAAATGAGTAAATTACCACTGAACTTCAACTAGAATAGTATACAATGTCAATGGCATTTCTATCGATTTCTTTCCCTTTAAATTTGAGGTATCCTTGAGGAATTTTCATTCTCATTTACCTTTTAAATGATGTCTTGACTATATCAATGTAATTGGTTTATTAGATTCAGAGCAGTAGTCATCAGAAGTATGAGAGAGAGAAGAGGGAGTTAGAACAGGCACACATGCAGATTGTGAAACAATTAGAGACTAGGGCCTATGACTTGGAGTCAAAAAACAAGGTACACTATATTACTGTATTGCCCAGTATGTTACTCCCTTGTAAACTACAATATATCTCCATTAATTAGAATAGAGTCTGTCATTATGAATTTCAATATTATTTGTTGAAACTCCACCCAAAATAGGAGCAGCATTTTACATTGTTCCTCTCTTTAACGTAGTATACAGTTTTACAATGTTTTAAACATCAGTGTTACAGGCATATGAGAAACCACAAAAATGTACAGTAGTTATAACTTTTCAGAAAATATTCACAAGAAGGAATTAGAACTTTTCTTTAAAAGGTCTTTAAAAAGGAGTTTGATGCATCATGGAAAGAATCCGAACAAATGCTTTAATTTGCTTTTCTTTGTAGGATTTGATGGACCGTAAATACCAGGCCGAGTCTTCAATAAGAGATCTCAAATCAAAGCTTTCCAGTATTGAAGAAGAACATGTGAGAGCAAAACAAGAACTTCAGTCTTTACGGAAACACAACTCTTCCCTTGATGGTGACAGATATGAACAGGAAAAGGTAATATACATGTACTTTCATTTATCTGCACATTGCTTCTAAGAGTATACTCTATGCACATACCTTTAGGTGAATAAAATGAATACACATAGTTTTAAAAATGTAAATGATATGTAAAATGTAAAAAATTTTGATATTAGTATGTAATAATAATGATTTTACATCAATCAACAAGGTTACCACTTTGCATATAATAAACTGATAATTTTGTATTTGCAAACTTAAACCTTCGATTGTCATCTCCCCTAGGTACTAAACCAAGCAAGGACCAGAATAGCTGTGTTAGAACAAGAGGTGAAGGATAAAGACCAAGTGATGTCACGCTCCAATGATTTACTAAGCCTTGAACAGGATCAAAAGGTAAATATACAACTAAATCGAGCTGTATACCAAACACAATATACAATATTTCCACCAATTATGTTCTACCAATACATACCGATAATATATGGGCATTAAAATAGTGTTGATATAGCTAAATATTAAGAACTGGTGTTAAGAGCTACAATTTGAAGGTGGTTCATCAACAGCAATTTTTTAGTCATTGATATTTTAGACAGGGATTAGCAATGAGCATGGATGTTTAAGACAATTCAGAGCATAGGAAATTCTTGTACTGTAAGTTCGATCTATGGATAATAAAATTAACTCAAATTTTGGATCAAAACTCAAGATGGGGATCTTATTTAGCCAGGCTTATCCATTCATCAGTATAAAGTTGTAGGATGGCTTACATGAACAGTCCTTGTGGCATCCCTGGAGTGCTTCCTCTATTTTATAATTTCAGAAAAAGTGTGAGGAAGAACTAGAAAAGAAGTCTCGTCATGTTAGCAAACTGGAACAATCTGTGAAAGTCATGTCAGATGAAATGGTGAAAGCCAATGAGATTATAAAGAAACTTCAAGGAGAAATCAGGAATTACCATGGAAAGGTGAGACTCTTCTCTTGATTTTATTATCACTTCAAACATAACTTTGTTTGCCGAAGTTAAGTTGCAATTCTATGTGTATGTTTTAAATTAAGAATTTTTGGGTTTCCTAGCTGAAACTCCGTAACCAAGTGACGACAGAGCAGGAAAATATCTTGGGTGAAAAATCTAAAGAAATAGACAATCTCAAGAAAGACCTGGAAACAACACAAAGAAATCTCAAGCAGAAAGAAGAAGAGGTATTTGCTACGTTCTAGCGGTTTTAGTGGGATAATTCAGTTAGTCGTTTTGGCCAAGTGTAAAATATTTTGAACTTTCAAGTTTAAAAAAAAACAGGGTCGATTCCAAATGGCTGTTTTATGATCTAAGTATGTTGAAATTGTTAGTTTGACACATATTTTACAGTTTAACTGTTGATAAGTAATCAAGTATAGAAGAACACATTGGCCATATTTGTAAATACCAAAATAAACACTAAACCCTTTGTTAATGAAATATACAGCTATATCAAGTTTAAATAAATCAATAAACTTTTTAGACCACCAAACTAAATGAATCACTAGAGAATACCATGAAGAAACTGGAGGAAAGTAAACAACTACTAAAGACAAATGAAAATGGTGAGTGCAGAAAACTTAAGTATGTCAAGATATTGAATTTGAAAAATTACTAAGCTGTGGAGACAAGATCAATGATAGAGGCATTAATAGCTTTGCATTTTAACAATGATTTTCTTGCTGTTTCATCCTTACCCCATTGGAGCACCACCAACAAGCTACAAGTCCTACAAGCTTCACTGAGCTTTACAATAATCATGAAACAAAACATTGAATCAAATCTACTTCTAAAAGTGACTAATAATGTTAAAATGACGTAGCCATAAACTAAAATGTTGATAAAAACATTAAATTGTCCTTTATATAAGAGTTGGTACTCAGGGAACCTGATTACAAGCTTGACGAGTTAGTTTTTAGCTTTTATAGTACTTACTTATGATGGTTGAGTCGTCATATATGATGGTTGTATATTTTTATGCTTGTTCCAGTGATAAATTGGTTGAACAAACAAGTGACAGAACAGCAGATGTCTCATACAAGAACAGGCACATTTGAGATGCATAGCGCAAATAACAGTGCTGCCACCTTTAGGCCAACTAGCACAGGACTGGTTAGTTCATAATTCATTCAATTCTAAGAGCAAGGAACCAGGTCAAAATTACTTATCAAAATATTAATTTCTTCATAAATGTAACTGAACAAAGCTAAGCCCATAGATGGTATTGTAGTGTGTTCGAGAATTATTTTCCCAGGACCCCATTTTTCACCAATAAAAGACACTCATTTATTTTGTGGAAACACTGTATGAATAACAATTCTTCACAGCTGCCAAATATATTTAGTCGACAAAAAATGAATTTTGTAATTTTTTTCTATTAGTATATATCATGTTTTGTAAACTTTTTATTTTAGCACAACTTCAGCAGTGGTAGCTACAGTACAGGGGTGACTCAGGCATCTCTGGGGAATGCTGGGAATAATTTACAAGTACCCCCGTCAAGGCAGCCTCAGGTTGGTGAATTACTGCTATAGGAAAAATAAGTTTGACTATTGAATATATTACATGCATGTACATGCAGACATTTGAATATTCTGGCAGTTTCGAATGTTTGGCATTTTCTCGCGATTTCAGAAAAAATACTGAATTGATTAAGATCAACAAAATTCACGGGTAGTATCTAAAGCCCCGCTATGATTGAAAAGTCGCGAGCAAGTTCCCGCTGAAATCGCGAGCATAGTCCTGTTTATTTGTATCACTTTGGAAAATGAACCAAAAGGATGAAAATACTTATTACCGTTCTTTGATACTCCAGCAAAACTTTGAAAACAGATATATTTGACAAAAAATGACATGAAAAATGATCATTTTTTACTTGCATGAAGGAAAGGGGCGTCAACATGCACGTTTGCATAATTTACTGTTCATATATTACCTTAATCGTTAAAATAAAGGCAATAAATATGATTTACATACTCCATAATAAATATGGGATCAAGATGGTCTGTATTGATAAGTTACTGGACAATGACACCTGCCATGGGGGTCGAAATATATTATTAAAGGTATTCCAGTGGCCCCGCTGAAAAAATGAGGAGGCCCTGCTGAAAACATGAGGAGACCCCGCTGAAAACACGAGCAAATTTCACGACTACCCGCTTCGATCACGAGGAAAGCTTCATCATTATTCCATGAATATAGTGAGCTTCTTTATATGAACGTACACGAATGTGCAAATAACGTATTAATGACAATCACATAACATATCATTCTATGGCAACATCACAAATATTTCTTCTTCAACTTCAGGCAGTCTAATCCACCTGTCAGCGGCATGATCAAATTTTTATATGTAAATAGACTTTGTACATTTCGGAGTTAAATGTACATTCTACATAATTAACTATTCCAAGGATTATACTTCTGAGGACACATATATCTCATTGGTTTCTTTGTCCGACCATTCATTCGTGCGTGCATTCGACCGACCGTTCATTCGTGCGTGCGTTCGTCCGACGGTCCGTTCGTTCATGCGTGCGTTCATCCGACCGATTGATCGTTCGTGCGTGCATCGCCCAATCATGCGTTCGTGTGCGCATGCGTTCGTCTGACCGTCCGTTTGTGCTTGCTTTCGTCTGTCTGCCCTTTCGTTCGTGGGTTCGTCCGTCTAGCCGTCCGCTCGTTCGTCCGTACGTGCTTTCGTTCAACCGTCCATTCATGCGTGCGTTCGTCTGTTCGTTCTTTTTGCGTTCGTTTGTGTGTTCGTTCGTGCGTGCGTTCATTCGTGCGTTCGTTTGTAACTACGTTCTTGCGTGCGTAGGTTCGATCTTTTGTAAATTGTTTTCTTCTATCTTTCCTTCATGCGTTCTTTTGGCCGCCTATCCGTCCGTTTGTTCATTCATTGTTTTTTCGGCTGTTCTTCTGTCCATCCGTGCGTTCTTTCCTCATTCGTTTGTTCGTGTGCAGGTTTTCATCAAAATTTGTCTTTCCACTGCCATATGAAAGAATGTAAATAATCAAGAAAGCAAGCAAGAACGTGAGGAAGTAAACAAGCAACGAAGTAAGTAATTGAGTTAGCAAGCAAGTAAAGAAGGAATGGAGGAAGTAAATCGAAGAAGTGAAGGTGGGAGTAATATAAGTAAGCAAGGAAGGAAAAAAGGAAGGAAGGAGGGAAGGAAAGAAGCAATGAAGGAAGGAAGCAAGGATACGAGAAAGCGAGGAAGCAAGCAAGGAAGCAACTGAGGAAGAAAGGAAGGAACCGAGGGAGCAAAGAAGGAACGATGCGAGTAAAGAATTAAGCAGGGAAGCTAGCAAGTAAGGAAGCGAGGAACAAAGGAAGCCAGGAAGCAAAGAAGGAATGAAACGAGGAAGCAAGGAAGGAAGGAAGCAAGCAAAGACGCAAGGAAAGGAAGGAAAAAAGCAAGGAAGTAAGTAAGGAAGGAAGGAAGAAGGCGAGAATGCAAGGAAGCAAGGAGGGAAGAAAGTAGGAAGAAATGAAGCGAGAAAAGAAGGACACGAGGAAAGAATGAAGGAAACGAGGAAACAAGGAAAAGAAGTGAGGAAGGAAGCAAGGAAGGAAGAAGGGAAGTGAGGAAGGAGGGAAGCGATGAAGCAAGGAAAGAAGGAAGCAAGGAAGGAGGAAAGATGGAAGCGAGGAAGCAAGAAAGGAATGGAGCGAGAAAGGAAGGACGCGAGGAAAAAACGAAAGAAGCGAGGAAGCAAGGAATGAGGAAAGAAGGAAGCGAGGAAGGATGGAAGCAAGGAAGGAGGGAAGTGAGGAAGGAAGGAAGCGAGGAAGCAAGGTAGGAAGCATGGAAGGAGGGAAGGAAGGAAGCGAGGAAGCAAGGTAGGAAGGAAGCGATGAAGGAAAGATGCGAGGACGGAAGGAAGCGAGGAAGCAAGGAAGGAAGGAAGCAAGAAAGAAGAGGCGAGGAAGGAAGGAAGCGATGAGGGAAGGAAGGAAGCGATGAAAGAGAGAGGCGAGGAAGGAAGGAAGCGAGGAAGGAAAGATGCGAGGAAGGAAGGAAGTAAAGAAGGAAGGAAGCAAGAAAAGAAGAGGCAAGGAAGAAAGGAAGGTAGGAAGCGAGGAAGGAAAGAAGCAAGGAAGGAAGGAAGCGACGAAGGAAAGAAGCGAGGAAGGAAGGAAGCCAGGAAGGAAGGAAGCAAGGAGGGAAAGAAGCAAGGAAGGGAGGAAGCAAGGAAGGGAGGAAGCAAGGAAGGAAGGATGCGAGGAAGGAAGTAAGCGAGGAAGCAAGGAAGGAACGAAGCGAGGAAGGAAGGATGCAAGGAAGCGAAGAAGGAAGGGAGTGAGGAAGCAAGGAAGGGAGGATGCAAGAAAGGAAGGAAGGAAGCAAGGATGGAAGGAAGGAAGCGAGGAAGGAAGGATCCAAGAATGCGAGGAAGCAAGGAAGGGAGGAAGGAAGGAAGCGAGGATGGAAGCAAGGAAGGAAGCAAGAAAGAAAGGAGGGAAGTGAGGAAGGAAGGAAGCTAGGAAGGGAGGAAGCGAAGGAACGAAGTGAGGAAGCAAAGAAGGAAGGAAGCAAGGATGGAAGGAAGCGAGGAAAGTAGGATGTGAGGAAGCGAGGAAGGAAGCCAGGAAGGAAGGAAGCGAAGAAGCAAGGAAGGGAGGAAGCGAGCAAGCAAGTAAGCAACGGGAGATTGATATAGGAATAATATTCATAAACATTATTCTGACTAAATCATTTTTAGGTTGACCTAAACGCACGCTTATTCTTGTACTCAAAGATGGAACAGAGGGGACAGTTGCAATACAGAGAATACAGAATATTTTCTATGGACTATGTAGTAAGCTCACACGATAAAAAACGTTATACAACGATTTGAAGCGCAACATAGGATATATTGTGCTCTCGATATGCTGTATTTCTACTTGATTTCATCTCGTGCCAATACAGAATTTTTTGAGCACAATATATCCTATATTGCACTTCAAATCATTCAATAACTTATATTACTTCAAATTATGAAAATGAGGTTAAAATGTTTAACATTATTTGCTATTCATCAAACTGGGTACAATAATGGATCAAGGTGGGTACGAAAGTGGGAGATTTTCAGGGTATAATCGGGATTCACTCCATTTTTGAGAGACACTTGCTCGTGTTTTCAGCGGGACCTCCTCATGTTTTCAGCAGGGCCTCCTCCTGATTTCAGCGGGATCTTTGCTTAATTGCTCCTGCTAGAAGCGGGGCCTTGAGGGATATGATAAAATTTAAATATAAAATGTTCTGTAAAGCTTTAGGAAGTGAAACTCGGTACATCTTTATTTCATATCACTATCGTTATTTCAAGCACAGGACAACATCGTTCTTCACCAATAACGTATAGAAATATATAGATAAAGATTCAAAATGATACTTTCTCTCTTCAATTGACAAATAACGAACCACAGAACGACCGCTCGTGATACATTTTTTCCAGCAGTTGCTTTTTTAGTCTCAATACCATGTAATCATTGGGAAAAATTAAAAGAAAACGTTTTGTTAATCATACAATTCAAGAACACAAAAAAAGAACCCATGACTTCTTTTTATTCCTCGTGATTTCAGCGGGAACTTGCTCGCGATTTCAAATCATAGCGGGGCTTTAGATACTACCCGTGAAATTAATTGTTTAAGATCAACATGACCAGTCATCTTTTTCACATGATATGATCACAAGAGCTTACTCAGTTACTTAAGGGTATGATCTCATTTACACAATATCTTGTTTTATCACAACATGTGTTTTTTAATAGTTAATGTAAGTTCAGTACTATTTTAAAGTTTGAATACATATACTATCAGGTGCAGTTCCAACCAGGGTTATCGAGACCATCAGCTGTGACCCTCAGTCGTACCAGCCCCATACCACCAATACCCGAAGAGATCTCCCCCAAAACTTCACCAACACCGCATCGCAATAAGGAAAAGTATGTTTATAATTGTGACATTATTCTATAAAGTAACATTTAAAGACAATATGTCATTAAAGTTTGAAGTTTGAAGATCTATTGTCATTAAATCATTGTATAATAAGAAGCATTTTCAATAAAATTACAGCCTTTTCCCCCCCAGTATGAAGCAATTTTTATGTAAAAAAAATTATGCAGGAGACACCATGTAATACTTTCCTCTAATGAAGCCAAATATAGATAATTGTAGGTTCTATTGTGTTTATTGAATGTCACATGGTCTTCATCCTTGCAAAATCTGAATTTCATCTTTTTTACTTGCAAAATGAATCTGACCATGTGGAACCTAGAGATCATTGATAATGTTGGTGACATTCCTATAGAGCATTATATCATTATGGTACTGAGAGCAGAAATTAACAAAGTTGTTATTATCAGCCTACATGTTTTTCACATATAACAAGTATACATTGGCATACATCTGTTTCAGTGATCCACCACTGGATCCAAAGTACCTGCAGAAATCCTCTAGCAACAAGACTGTTCCTGTCTCCTTGGCAACTGGTAGTACCAGATTGAGTAAACAGGGAATAATACCCAACACAAGGCCTGCTTTGGTCGCCAAACAACCAACACTGGCCTCTGCATATTTCCCATCTCAGGCACGGACTTAACATTAAGGCAGCTATTTCAGGAATGACCTTAAAACTGACAGTCCTGGTGTGACTTACCAGGTTCAAGGTCTTAAACTTGATTGTTTCACAAATGACAACTCTCAATTTGTAAAAGAGCCTCTGCATTTTCACATACTCAATTTTGATATAAATAATTCCAGAATATGGGTGATGATGATCAAGTATATCTCAAACTTCAAAATTAACTACCTCCTTTTGATTCATGTAAAAGGGAAATGATGTGTTTAAGTTGTAGTGATGGTCCCTCCATTTACATATACTGCCAAATAAATACCATGTACCACACATTACTTACATTACCACATTGCCAAATATCAACAGGAGAACAAAGCATATATTGTATAAAATGAAATTTATTTTGAGCAATTTCTAAAGCACAATTTGTGCATAAACCTTGAACAATTTGAACTCGTAATACTGTTGAAATATTTACTATGTTTCAATATCATTGTGATTTTCAAGGGAAGTTGAGATTTCATCCATTGCTCAGTTTTTGTTTGTGGTATAACTACAAGGGCCATTACTTGGATATACCACCCCCAAAATGCAATCTGATTTTCGACGCCGTTTTGGTGCCAAATTTCGGTGACGTTTCGGAACCAAATGGACTGACTAGTCCGGTAACAAATTTTGGTGTCAAAAGGTTTCGGTGCCGGAACGGTGTCGGAACGTTGCCAGAACGGCGCAGAATTATATTGGCTGTGTAAGTGTGGTTCGTGATTTGTAATAATGATCAATTGAATCTCAATGATTCTCAACTTACATGACGTAAGCTTACATGAAATTTCAAGATAAATCACGAAATACACCAAGAGAATTCTCTTGTATCCTGGCCATGTTAGTACCAAGTTCTCTTGTATCCTGGCCATGTTAGTACCAAATGTTTATAATAATGTACTTGTCAAGACCCTTATCCATTGAATTAAATCAATTGTAATGTACAATAATGATATTATACTGTAAATGAGAGATATTATAAATAATATATGATATGAGAGTAAACACTGATATATATACACATTTTTGTTGATTTTTTACTTTTTTGAAACTGAAGTTGTTAATTCCCTTTAAAGTATACAGAAATATGAAATGTAGACGAATAACACGGTTGGTAGCCAAGGGATATTATACAGTAGTATATATTTTACAGAATAATGTTTTCACATCCATAAACTTAGCCAATATATGAATATTTCTTCAAGGACTGTTTTGGCCACGTGCTTTTGTGAATAACCATGTATCTTAGAATTGAGAAGGCAGCAAAGGTTACAGATTAGTTGATTGTAACTTTTTGTTCACTGCATTCCTTGTCTTATGAGCCTATTTTGTAAAAGAGTCTAAACAACCTCTTTATCTATTGCCGAAACTTTCAACTGATTTTACTAAATCAATAACCAAGCAATTAGCCTTTACAATGCTGAGAATCTTTTAAACATTCAATTTTTCTGTGGGCCTATCACTGCATTAACTTTTTGATGAATATCCATTGCTTATATCAACATGTATAATCCAATCTCAGTTTAAGAGGTCCATGTACCATTAAGAAGACCCATGTTGCACACAGGTGCAATGTATTTCCACAATCTTAGAATTTAAAGCTATGTACACAATGTACAGGAAAACAATAATAAATATACAGCTTTCCAATGGTACAATTTACATGATCAACAGAAGGCAGCACTATAAAATCCAATGTTGAAATGGACACGATAATGTGACATAAGATAATGATGGTCCAATAATGATGACCATCATCAAGGTGTGATTTTACTGCTGTCCCAGAGGTCCAGAGTCATTTCATTTTGATCTTGGCCAACTGATTTCTTGAAAGATAAAAGCAACTTGTCTATTTTGCATCAATTTCGACCATCAACCAATTACTCAAAATAATTTCAAACTTCTCTAGTACAGTCCTGCCTTCTGTTCATCTGTAACAAGTAATAACAATCAGTGTTTCATAAGAGTAACTTCATTAGCCCCATGAAAAGTAAAACACTTTTGTTTATGAAGCTCCTTTTAAATGAGTCCAGAATCTTTGTGCACTGAACCAAACAAATTCTTTCGTGTTTTACTTTTCAGGTTCTTCTGTAGTATAATTCAGACAAATTCAGAAAATGCTGAAGAAAGATATATTGCACAAATCACAATTTGCTTTTCATGTGCAAAAAGAACAAATTCGTGTCACTTGTTCCAATTTCATGTTCAACTTCTTAACATCAATATTCAACGAAATATTTAAAAAGAAATCTGCATAAAATACTCTTTTGGACAATTCAGTGCAGCTTCAGCCAGCTTAAATTTCATATAAAATTTCGGTCTGACCTTGAAACAGATTCCCTTCTAAAATGTGCCATAAAATGCATCGTTTTACTGAACATGTAAAACCATGTTGTCAATACAATTGTTAAAACTATGCTAATATGGCAAGTACAAGTCTAAATCAGTTCCAAGTGCCATCCCCTAAATCTCCTGGTAAACAATACTTAAACCTTTGATCCATTGGGTTATTTTAATCCCTTGGATTATTTAAACTTATGGATCACAATACATTAATCCGCTGGATCGATGTTCCTCCTTTGTTCCAATGTTCTGTGTTTTATGAGATACTGTATGTCATGTCTAGGTACTCTGGGATATCACCTCTTGTACTTGCATTCTGGGATACAACCACTTTCTTTGTGAGTCCAGACATTGCACCATTGCAGACAGAAAAGCTGCACATTGAGTTAGCACTATAGATAATGATGAGTGTTCTATTTTACATGTATTTCTTTGGCAGTCTCCACAGCTACTGGTGGCTGGGCAGGTATAGTTGGGGCTTTGATATGATCCTCTATAAGAGTTGTAACCTTATCACGGTCCACCTGAAAAAATAAATTTACGTCCATAAATGTGATTTAAATCAAACATTTAGGCAAACTTGAACTCACACTCCTGCTGGACAATGATATATAACAAACCTTCTTTGTAATTATCAATGCCTCAAAAAGTTATCTTTGTAAATCATCTAGTAAAATAAACAACTATATTCCCTTTCATAAATAGGCGAAAGTATAATGCGAGATCTACTCCTCTCACAAGAATACACAGGAATTTTTGTCACTTATGAGGTGAGCAATTTATATGGTGTGATATTTACACTAAATAGAATCATAGTGCATAGTGCTAAGTTTACAGTCTGCAACACTTCTATTAAATGTTGAGTCCAAATTGCACCTCATTAAATTCTACATGATGAAGTGTAACGTTTAATTACCTCATTGATGAAACCATAATGAACGAGTTCATCTGCAAGTGTGGATGCAGTATCCTCTGTGGAGAAGTCACAGCTCAGCTGTCTGTTCATTTTGTCATCCATTCGCAACAGGATTGTTAGCTGGGTACACAATAAGAAATTGAATTATTCATTTTTCATTATTTTTGATTTACGTTTGTTACATAATTAAATTTCCCATTGTTCTATGATGTCACATACATGTATGGTGTAAGTATATATTTCAAAAATTAGATCTTGAAAAAGACTTGTGGATACAGGTCAAAAGTCTCGATAAAATAAATTGATTTCTTTTAAGAAATGAAAGTGTTTCAAAATATATTATCAATGGTATTTTTAATTTTTCAAATCTAAAACAAATATGGACAAGAATTGAATTCTTTCACTCTTGATTCCTTTATGAGAAGGGAATCTGTTCAATAGCTTCCATGAAAGGCCAATTAAAGTTTCATACTTTTCTATCTTGTTATTTTTTTCCCCTCATAAACAACAAGTTAATTAAGTCATAAATGTAGCCTACCTGTCTAACATTGGGCACCTCAGGATTGACTACAACACTAGCATTCATGTTGACAACAGTTCTTGTCTCTAAGTCTACAGGTTCTGGTGTCTCAGACTTCTCAGATTCTGCTATTTCAGGGGAGACTGCCCGTTGTCTTGGAACATCGGGCGTTTTTGGAAATGTAAATGCTGTTAAAGGGTAGATGCCATTCCTGTAATACCAATGTGTTTAGCCTAGTATATTATCATTGATTAATAGTGAAAGATAAGTTGACCAATGTAGGATCATTATAAATCAATAGAGGATTTTAATGTAGTGTTAATTGTAATAATGAGGCCGCCCCCTTTTTTATGTTATATACCATACTTTGATCTTACCTCACATCTTCTAAAAACTTTTCTAATTCTAAAGTTGGAACTTGAGAGAATCTGAAATAGAGATATTTGAAATTTCTTATAAAACAGGAATTACCATAACAATGCACAAGTCTGTATATGTTGTCCTTGTCACAATCTCAAGTTAAGTGATTAATATTTCATTCTTCTGCATCTTTTTATACTTTTAATCTTGTTTATTTCAAACATTTAATTATTGTGTACTATAATTACAAATAATCTTAAACGCATTGAATAATCCTAAAACTTGGTAGATACTGATTATACTGATGGTGTACCCATGTTTAAAATATGAGGTTTCTTGATTCATCCAAGTTAATCATACAATTCACACTGTATATCAGTACTCTGTATTAAGGTTTGAACTTGTCATGACACAAAACTGACTGATTGTACTTATTCTCACTTACTTCCATTGCACTGTGCCTTCTTTGCGTACCATTTCACCAATAACTTGTTCAAGATTTGTTCGAGTCTGTCTGTCTTCATCTGTCATGTTCTCCGGAAGAATATCTGCAAGTTTGCACAGTGAAGTTGATGTCTTACATATGGAAAACGATTTATAAGAATATCACACTTATGGATGTATAGAGCTGCGCAATAAATGATGACATTATCAAACGCCAAGTTATACGTTATATGGGAATAATGAACATGCTTTAAAGGGACAAAGTGCGTAAATGAAGTCTCACTTTTGATCTTCATAGTATTTCCAATGAATAAATAAGTACCCGATCTTTCATTTGACACCAAAAACAGCTCAAACAGACCACATCAGAGTTGACACTAGATCATGAAAAAATATTTTTGATCAATCAATTTATATGTGTCAAGTTTTTAGCCATGCCATAGAAAGATGGCATTGTTGTTTGCATTAATTATCCATTCATTTTGATAGGATTTTCAAGCATACGCCATCTTTTAATCCAAGAGTTATTTAAAACATCCACAAATGTGAAAAGTGGTAATTCACTTTTTTCAGTCTCTGAACTTCAAATGCTGTTTTCTATGCGAGTAATTTTTTTTTCAGTTCAGTATTATCCCAAATTAAAGTTTTTATCATATTTGATTGGCTGTGTGAGTGACATGTCTCATATAATATTTTGTCCTTTTTCCTTCCAAAATAGGCACATTGCCTGTTTAAGTGAGTTGTGAAATCTATCTATTGTATCTTATTTTATCTTATACTAAAATTGATAAACAGTTTTTAAAACTACATTTTAGATGTAATTTTTATGGCGATTTTGAGGGGAGTATATGTTCTGCTTGTATTATTCCACAGATTTAGGTTTAAGAATATTAACATAATCCACTTACTTGCATTTTTTACAAAACTATGAGCTGCCATAACTTTCAGAGAGTGGACCTCAAACAACATGGCATGAAATAACAATTCACGAGCTTTCGGCCGAGACTTGGCATCTTTCTGTAGACATCGCTTAATGAAGTCCTGAAATACAAATAAACATTCATTCAATGACCCAACCACAATTTGCCTGGAAACTATCAAAAAGTGTGAAAAAATTGCCTTTACTTGACGATACACAATTCATGAAGAAAATAACAGAAATTTTAATCATACAAATAACAAACTTGTTGGGTGAACAAATATTCAGGTAAATTATTCAGCATTTAAGGAATGGTCCTACGCTTATGAAAAATATTTCCGTCTGAAAATTTTATTATTGCACACCTGTAGAAGTGGGTCACCTAGTGACAGTATTGCTTGGTCTATAGTCTCCTGGGGAACATGGTGACTTGACTCCCCATTTCCTTGCAGCTTCAGCGCTGCCATCTGTAAAGAGTTATAAAAATGTCTGTATTAAATATCAAGAGAAAACATTTCCCATGAAGTGGAGGATGTATTAGGATTAACAACAAAGTACAAGAGCTCCAATAGGTAAGGTAATAGAAGTAATTTAAAACAGATATGACATGGCTCGTTACACCTCATGTTCAATGTCATAGACATGTATTTTTTATACATTCAAAGTTTCCAGGTACAATAAGTTGCCCCAAATATGTGGCATAAAAGTTCAAAATAAATACACATAAATTAATCAATCTCAAATATTTGTTGTATTCAATTTTTTAACCATCCAATTATAATTTATAACTCACCTCTAGTGCACAGATCCCAAATGAATAAATATCTACAGCAGTTGTCACAGGGTTGTTATCTACAAGACAAATAAGAAGCAAATTAATCATCAAATAAATAACAATAGCAGTTCTAACAATTAACAAATATAATGCAAAGTGTTATAGATATTATAATAGTTCTTTTTGGACAACACAATACATATATCTATAACCTCCCTGTAGTAACTTTTAATCAGGAGGTTTCTGTCTGTTTTACAGTGCATCAATAACAGGATTATATTTCATTTCACTTTTTTCGTTCTTATTTCGATTACCACCATATAAAGATAATAATACATCTTTAAACAATTTTTGTATTAACAATGGAATACACAAAAAATTCTTTTGAAAAGGTCTACGTTTATTTTGAGCCAATACCCAGACTACCAATACTACTAGCATACACAATGCCTTTTATGCAGTTTCAAACCACTCAGTCAAGTGGGCAACCAGGACTTCATCTGAACCAGGAATTGAACATGGAATCACTTAACAAAGAGAGTCATTCCCTAATGGCGTAATATTTATACACAGTTAAATGTGCCTGTGGTGGTCTACATGTTAAAAACCTTTGACCTACCTGCATATTCCGGGGCAATGTAATGCATATTTCTGGTCTGTTCGCGGTTAGTTTTCACATGGCTGTATATTGCATCTGGAGCAACTGGAATACAAACACAAACATATTACCTATGCAAGTTTTACATATTATTTTTTAATTCAATTTATTCATTAAAATTTATTATTTATTGAATGGTACATAAAATGAATAAAATGCACCTAAACTTCCAACTATGTTGAAACATACCTGAGCCAATCTTTATGAGTCCATTGTGTTGAATAAATATTGTGTCACAAGTCAGGTTTCCGTGTATAATAGGAGGGTCACAGGAATGTAAGTAGCTGAAAAAAACAAGAAAATATTATTCTTTGTTAGAGTCATCATAAATGCATCATCAATTGTAACTGGCATTAATTTCACATTCAGATTCTCATAAAGACAATGAAAGCTACACTTGGGATTATTAAGATCTTGTTAGTATCAGAACAATAATTATTCATACTAGTGTGGCAGTCAAATGAAGCTTCAGAGGTATATGGAAGACACCATATTCAACATGTTAAACACCTCAGCTTCTTACAATATTATTCAATCTCTGGAATAATGGCCTGAGACTTTAATACTCGAGGATTTCTAACAGCTATTCACAGACAAACTTATTAAAGAGGCATTGTTTGTTAGCGAACAAATTCAGGGTACTCCTTCATATAGTGTTTTTGTAGATGTAAACCATACACATATACACTGTACATCGTGACTTTTTAATTTTATACATGTACATTAATTATACTTCAATTGCCAGATACATAAATGGGATTAATCATATGATTTTAATTATAGATAAATACTTTACTGGACAGTGAAACATTATTTTGGAATAATTGTGCTCAATAGTAAATTACCATTAGGTTTTCAATTTGGGCACTTTTATGGTACTTTGAGCGAGTATAATTTGACCACTTAACACCCAATTTTGATCCAAATGAATATTACTATATACATTTACATAACATATATCAGTTTATCCTATGCCAAGTAAAGTTTTAGGGAGATAAGTTGGTAAGATATATCCCATATCCTGATTTTGAGGTTTCCATATCCTGAACCCCCATATCTCCCGCTCCAGGGCATATCTTCCCGCTTCGAAAAAATTGAAAAAATAAGAAAAATTTAAAAAATGTGAAAAAAAATTTTAAAAAATAAAAAATTCAAAAAAAGAAAAAAATAGAAAAAATTTAAAAATGTGAAAAAATTGAAAAAATAAAAAAAATTGAAAGAAAATTAGAAAACTCTACTTGGTATAGGATAAAGCAGTTATGTACGGTCGGTTTGGATATTGGGTTCATCCCTCGTGAGATATGCACATCTACCTTCGGTCCCTATGGTCCCTCAGGTAGATATGCATATCTCTCTCTGGATAAACCCCATATCCAAAACCTCCCAGTACATAACCCTTATATATGTACTGTAATTATTAGAATTGAAATCAATTTTGAGTAAATGTCAAGCAACCTTATAATATAATCTTAATTTTATATACTGTACTTTTACTTTTGCCACTACTTATTTTAGCAGATTTGCTGTTTTGAACATTTGGTGGCTACTCAATTTGGCGGACTTGCAATATTACAATGTACTCATGGTATTTTCGGGGTAATTTCCATAGTACTTAAATTACTGGGGAATTAAGCAACTACTTAATTTGGTGGACTTTAACAAAAACGGCTGCCAAAATAAGTAGAAGTACAGTAACAGACATCAGATGCTGGTTCTTACAATACGATGTTTCATAAAAATCAATATCACCAGGTCAACTTAACATTCACATTTGTCTTCTTGAAAATGATGTGTCTAGACTCTAGACCAAGGATAATATACTATAAATGGATTGTGGGCCTGGGCACAACAACCTTTACTATCTTGGGAAGACTATCTCTCTCATACATTGGATAGATAGACTGATAAATTAGATTTCTATAGATGTATTCTCTAAAAGGGCATTCTAAACTTTTACTTTATATTTTACATGGCCTCACACTGGCTCATATTTTGAGATTCTTCTTATCATATCACAATAATAAACCGCCTCCTCACAATCAATGGCGAGCAGATATAGTCCTGTTTTATTTGAAGACTTGTCGCATCTATCACATACAGATATTCAGAATTAGATGACAAAATTGGCAAATTGGTTCAAATATAGTGTTAACTAATCTTGACTTATTGGCGGTCAAATTCCCACTAACTCCCTTTTAAGCATACACGTCACTAGCATTCATTTCACATTCAAACTTCCATATAAGGCCAAAAAAGCAAAGCAGCGTACTTTTGAGATTTATCAAACTGAGAAAATCGTTAATAGCAATCAGAGGGTAGTATAGCTAGTTGATTTAGCTTCAGGGTACAATGAGTTATTGATGAGCATTGGATGCCTCAATGGAAGAGGGAAGTTCACGACAGCACACATGTACATGTTGAGGTCATAGTTACTCTAGATACATGTATATGTCTATGTGAACATGGTCATACATAAAGTCATAAAGACAAGTACATCAAATATGCTAAAATTCCATTTTTTATTTACCCTTTATGACAAGCTTGTAGTGATTAGTATCGCTATAAACGCATGATAACAGAAAGAATTGTTTTCCATTATAATAAAAGCACAATCATATGAGCCCTGATACAGATATATCTAAGCCTTTTGAACTTTTGACATTTTTGCCACTAGATTAGTTTCACAAATGAATTATAATACAACAGTAGAATATAAATCAAATCAATCAAATGTAGATTGTTACATGCTACATATAAGGAAGAGAAACATGTAAGAAACACATATTAGATTAAGCTTATGAGATTCATGATTATTACAGATAAGAAGTCTTAGCATAAATGGTAAATTGATAAGTAAAATGCCAGAGACATCGAATGGCATCTTTCCAATTGAAAATGACTCACGGATACCATGCTAGACATTATGACCTTACATTACAATACTCTATAGCAATCGTAACTAACATATCAATCAGCTTGTACATTTGTACACAGTCAGAAGAATACTGATGAATATCATAAAATCTGGTCTCCCCACTTGAAGGGATCTAGTATTTCCAAAGATATTGAGGCCTTGGTGTATGATTTCAATAATCATTATTATTATAGACTCTTGATTTTGAAGATTTTAAGCTAAAATGTAATTCAACTGAGTAGGTAAGATGGTTTATAGGGCTTGGATTCTTACCTCAATGCTGAGAGTATCTGGGTGCACCATCGTTTCCATGCCTACAAGACAACAAGTAAACAAATATTTACAAATATAACAAATTCTGGTCCACATTGTTAAAAGGACATCAGCCTATTTTTCAAAAATTTAGGCCCATTTTTCAAGAGGACCATTTCCTAAACCTATTAGTGGAGGTCCAGAAAAGGCTCAAAATAGAAATTGGGGACCAGAACGATAGACACAACCTGGACCATGTCTACCAGTGAAAACTAAGTAAATGTTATGTGTCATGAATTTATAAAATAAATGAGATTAGCTAATTTTTGAGATAAGTGTTGACATTTTGATTGAATTAGCTATGTTGAAGTACAAAAGCCAGCTGTTTTATAGCAAATAAAATAAATCATCTTTCACTCATACATGATATACTATGTAAATAGCAGGTTTTATTTCATTTTTGCTATTTTATGGATTAATCAATAGTACCACAACTCTGATGAGATATATCTAGGATATTGAATATAACATCCTAACATTACTATAAAATAATATGTTAATTGTACATACTCTAAAATAAATTCACAGCATTCCTCAAATGTTGACAAGGCAGTTACAGTCTGTATGTTCAGTAAAATGTATGGGTAGGGACACCTCATTTTTAATTTATCACATTATTTTAATAATCCATTGACTCCCCTATATAGTGAAGTGAAAGTGTTGATTTGCCTTTCAAATGAATTAACAAACTTTGCTAATGAGGAAAATTACCCACTTTCCTAACTAGATAACGGCAACTCCGCGGAGTAGCAAATCCCAACGACGAAAATATCAATTACCGAATTCCAATCAATTATACTCATTACTTTGATTAAAATTGGAAAATTTAGATTTTAGAATTACGAATTCATGCAAAACAGCCATTTTGAATTTTCTGAGGTACAAATCTGAAAAATAATACCATAATTGTGATCTACTCAAAAATTCCTTCAATTTGAGTATAATATAGCCATACTTTGAAGGGATCGAAAAATTATTGCGAAATCGTACATTAGACGGCCATTTTGAATTTTACGAGGCTCGAATCAGAAAAAAGATACAATATTTGCAATCTACTCTTAATTGCCTTCCATTTGAGTATAATAAAGCTATACTTCAGAAAGATCTAAAAATTAGCGAAAATCTTTGTTTTCCTGACCCCCCATACACGGCTCCTGGGGGTCAGGATGAAAAACAATATATGTGAAATAGATAGATGTTGTGAATATACTACCAAAATTTCAAACAATAATATTAATTACTTTGGTTTAGAATGAAAAATCTATGATTTTTGCGAAAAAGTCTCGTCATTTTTAAAGTGGCGGCCATCTTGAAAAAAATTTTTTTTGCGTAAAACTATTTATCAATATACATCTTTCCACCAAATATGAAGAAAATCGGTCAACTAATATTTGAGTTATCTTCCGGACAGACGGACGGACTGACTGACTGACTGACTGACGGACGGACGGACGGAGGGCTTCACTATATCCCTACAGAACTTCGTTCGTTGGGATAATGAAATTAACATACACAAATGTTAATATTCATACATCACCCCTAATGACTCAAGAATTGATACATACCTTCAGTGTCTTATTGTTTTTCTTAGTCTTCTTGAGGAACTGCTTGAGAGAGCCAGAGGACATGTACTCTGTGATGAAGATCACCTGAAATGGATGAAACATAATGGTTTGTTTGTTTGTTTGTTTGTTTGTTTGTTTGTTTGTTTGTTTGTTTGTTTGTTTTTATTGGCTTGATGTTTGATGAAAAGGTAATGATACACAATCTAGACAGTTTTATACTAGACAGACAGATCTAGAGAGTGTATTATTTCAAATTCTGATACACAGATGTAATAAGAAACATAAATGTAATGTGGTGACTTCAATATTCTTAACATAATGATACAAATGTAATATGATAGCAGACTTAAATGTAACACAATGACAGATATGTAGCATGATGGGGGAAAACTTGATGATTCAAATGTATCTTCATGGTAAAAGTGATGATGGTGAAAGTGATGATGATACAAAGCAAGATGTTGATCTTGAAATATGGGAAACAACAAATGGAACACAAAGATTGATAATACCAGTAAAACCTGCGAACAGGGAATGCTCTTGGGACTGGAGGAAAGTTTCCTTGTTCAGAGGTTTTCCCTATAGAGAGGGGCCGCACTTTCAGCAAACTCAAACTTGCCGAATAAGAATATTTGTATATATATTGATTGATTGTACAAATGCCGATTCCATACTTGGTTACATTCTCCCCATGTTGATTTTAGCTGCTTCTAGTGTCTGATGATGTCTAGTTGATGTAATCATTGGTATGATGTGTAGAGATATATTGCTAAGAACAGAATTTCAAGTTTCAGCAACCCTATTTTATATCATTGATAATCTAGAAGTTGGATCAGTAAAAGATTTAAAGAGATTTGGCTCAACATGACCGTGTACTTACTATCTATTATCTCCATAAAACAATTGTGTTAGTCCCTAGATTATCACAACTGATTTGATGTAATTAGGTTTTTGAAAGGAAGAATTGGTGTCATGATAATAAGTAACAAACAGATTAGTATTAGTTTTAAAATAAATCAGGGTAATTAACAGTGGGTGGGATGCTACATCATGTCAACAATTGGCTTATCTTAATCTCAATCATATTCTCATAATCATATATCTAAGCTTTTTATATTCAGATATTGGCTTAAGACTTTCACACCTCTGAAAAATAATGGAATATACAGTGTCACCAATATTCCTTGTTCACAGGTGAATTTTCATAATTTGCCCCAAAATAGTGTTCCTTGTTCCCTGTTCACAGGTTTTCCCTACAGAGAGGGTCTGTTAACATGTAAGTCAATGGAAAAATATTCGGTTCTTTTGAAAAGCATTCCTTGTTCATAGGTTTTCCCTACAGAGAGGTATTCCATCGGACAGGTTTTACTGTATGTAAACACATGTGCACTAATGTTACACATTAGATATATGCATGGAGGTATCTATTAAAATACACACCCTGGGTTTACTGGACTTGGCTTTAGGATCATCCTGCTTTGTCTTGCTGTCAATCCAGTATTTGTGGAACTTTACTAGGTTGGCATGGTCCAGCTGAATCAAGTTGTCAAACACTTGACGTATCTTATCCTGAAATAGATGGAAATTGATGTAGAAAAAATGTAAAATTCTGAAGGTGTTTTTTTGAACAAAGTGGCTCAATTACTTACATATTAAATATCCTAAAACATAAGATACATCATAATGGTGATCAATAGTTATAATTTTGATATATTATCTTCTGTAAAGATTGAAAAATATGTATCCCTTGTAATCCACTTTATTGCATTTTTGAAAATTGTTAACCTCAAGGTACATAAACCATTTTTGATTTCAGCAAAGAATGGGCTTTCAAGATAAATCATAGGTAAATTGTTATTATTTAATTTGAAAGCTAAGCACATGTTATTAACTTCAAATGGAAGAAGCTTTTTATCCTATTTCATGAAATCAATTCTTTCTTTATTTGGTTGAGTAGAATAGAAGAAGCAATTTTGCATAAACACCATGTGTGGATTTCATTTATTTTTATATTCTTGCAAACGGTAATTATATTATTGAGTATCAGCCCTCTAAACCTATATCAAAACATTGTGTTCAGGCCCATGGCCAGGATTTGCCAAGGGGGTTCACTTTTAAAAAAATTCCAGGGGGGGCTCACTTGTGACAATTTTGGTCCAAAAATGGCCAAAATCACTTACAAAGTGCTCAGAATGGTGTGAAAAACTGCATGATTTTGAAAGATTTTTTGGCCAGGGGGGAGTTCGCTCAAACCCATCAACCCCCCCCCCCCTGGCTCAAGGGTGTATTTATATTTTATATGATTTATTGAGATATTGGATGTCAATACTTGTTTATATGGGTAGCCTATAAAACAATTACATACAAGTACAATATCATGTTTACTGAAATAGACGAAGGCATATTCATAAAAATATACTGATAGCAAAATAAGCATTACTGTGAAATCCCAATGTCCACAGATGAGGCAATTATTAAGGGACAATCTCAAAGGTTTCACACAAAATTCATAATATTATCACTTAAACTTCCAACCCACCCTTGTTCAAAAATCTGAGTTATGAAGTACAATAGTACATTAAAATAAAATGAGCCAAAAATAAGCTACACAAAAATAACACACACAATGATTCTGTTCCAAGAGCAAATCATTGAAATGAGAGATGGATATAAGACAAAAGCTCGGTCGCGGTGTAAGTATCATTGTAAGGACTGAATATTTCAGCATATGATATGAAAAATAAATAAATAAATAGCCTTTTATCATATACTGTATGCATGAAGAATGGATTAGATTTATACTTTAGTGTGAACCTTTGGAGGTGTCGCCTTAGACAATTGAAGCATGATGGAAGTTGTTAAGGTTAATAAGGTCATAAAAAACATATCCAGATTAAATCTTAACCTACAAATCGCTAAGAATAATAATTTTGGAATTGTTACTATGGTAACCACAGTTATTGCAGTATGTGCATTAAGGAAATCCAGCATGTGGGGGAAGAAAATCAAGGTTTGAGGAGTGGGAGTGAGGTCTCTTTTCAGAGTCAGGGAGAATATGTATTTAGTTGTCGCCAAACCATCAAAAGAAATACATACTGATATATAACAAGATTACCGTCTAATATTTTACCACTTACATATACTAATACTCCTTATATCTTTCTTAATTGCAATGACTAACTATGGCAGGTGAGGAAACCAAATCATAAAATAGTGAATTTGATTAAATAATTTAGATTTGCTATTTAAATCAAGATATACAGACAATAATCATCTGCTAACATGCACAAGTTTCATCTGTCCCCTAAGAAATTTGCATATTTTAATTTATAATTTTGCGAATGAGATTTTGGATTTTGCAATTTAAAAATTAAGCATTTTGCGATGATTTTGCATCAAAATTTGGCATCATAAAATTGAAATTTGCAAGAAAAAATGATATTTAACTGTTAAACTATGAGTCAATTGATGACTTTAATTTCTGATGCTCAACACTGACATTGTTTAGATCTACATGTAGAGTGCAAAATAATATTCTACCGTCCTCGTGCAGCATTCCCTAAGGGTAGTCACTGACACGTTGTTTGGCAGATGTTTTCATCACGACATGGGCCCTACCTTATTACAAATTGAGTATGATTGTTAATCTTTTCACTTAAAATTATTGCGATCCAGCACTTTTAATAGTGTAAAATGCAGATTGCTTGCAGTTCGAAACAATGACAAGGAGGATTGGCTCCCAGAATCGAAGTCGATATTTTCCAACAATGAAAACGCCGAAATGTCGTTATTTTCTGAAATTATAACCGATTATAAATTCAAAATAAACAGTTCAAAATATTCGAACCAATATCTCGATCATTTCTTGTGAGTTTTGGAATTTTTCGTTGGGAAATAAGACCAAAATTCACGATTCAAATGTTGAAGTGAACAAAATGGCGGTCGTTGGAATTCAAATTTTGTAGCACGACATACCCATATATGGGGCAGAATATCGATGTTGCACTCTGGGAGCCAATCCTCCTTGAAACAATGACAAATTCAACTTGGAATTGATAGATCCACAAAATACCCCATTCAGTAACAATATATATTGTCTGTATACAATATTGTTTATCTATTTCTTACGGAAATACTTACCAATATTTGGAGGAATCACGCTAAATTTTATCGAAACACATATAGATGGATCTCCGATATCTCTCTGGATTGAACAGCATTCAAGAAGGTAATGAACTATGCGCCAACTCCAAACTTTAAATTTCTTGCTTTTTGCGCGAAATTGGGAATTTTGCAAATGATCCCCTATTTTGCAGAATCGCATTGCAATCGCAGAAACGCAAATTTCTAAGGTGACAGGTTCAAGTTAGGACTGGAAAACATTGTGATACTTTTAATGCAACATAAATATATAAAAGTGTGAAAAACATGAACTACATTAAAGGCATCCCAAAATGAACAAAACACAGGGTGGACAATATCACATCTTTGAATAGAATAGACAATTTTCCTGACTGAAAGTCCAAAATAGCCACCTTAACATTTACCCAGAATGCCTATAACTAATCAATTCAAAACTTCCATATCAAGGAACATCCCTTAAAAGTTCAGATGAATCTATAAAACAATTTGGCTTGAACAAGTAGACAAAATTTTACACACACGATTTTAGGATTGAAAATGGCCACCTTACCATTCACCCAAAATGCCCAAAAACTGATCAGTTTTAGAGTTTCATGCCTAGAAACAGCCCTAAAAATTTCAAATTAACTCGTGAAACAGTTTGTGTAGAGAATACTTTACAGTCAACATTTTAGGTTAGAAAATCCAAAATGGTCACCTTTACGCTTATCCAGAATGCCTAAAACTAATCAGTGCAGTTATAAGAAACATCCCTGAAAATTTGAAAAACGCATATGCAAGACTTAAGAGACAATACTTTATGACAGAAAATCTTAATTTGCCACCTTAACATTTACCCAGAATGCCTAAAAACTAATGAGTTCTAGATTTTCATACAAGAATAACATTCCTGAAATCTGTGCATAAACGGTTCACCTGGAAATGGGTAGACAAAATTTTTAAAAATGCCTAACCTGCCACCCACTCCTGGCAAACTGATCACATTATAGCACCCAAGGAAGCAATAATAAGGAGCAATCTTTAAAAAGTACAAAAGCATTTCAGAAAGCAAGTCTATAAAAAACTCAATAATCAAAAACATTAAATACATCAAAAGTGCATAACTATAGTTAAGACTAAGGATGATGTTTTCTATGGTTCATTTGATTTATATATCAATCAATGATTTATAATAAGTATTTTATTTATGAACGTTTAAGATAAGTCCATGATTCCACACCATAACAAGGTGCATCAAGCATGGATGCTGGGATTTCTAACACCAATGTTAAGCTTTATCTAAAGATAAATGATACAAAGAAGGAGAATTAAGTGCCATTGATATTTCTATTGCTAAATATACCAAGATGAACTGATTCTCCAAATCCCAGGTGTCACAATCGGTTGGTATGATCTTTGATCCCCCCCCCCCCTATCTACTTCACCACCAGTTTGTGGAGGTGACGTTTGAAAGGGGGGGTCACAAAGGCTCAAAGCAAGATTAAGAAAAATTTTAACATGAAATACCCGAATAGATCCCAGAAAATCATTTAGAAAAAGATTTATTTTGAACACAATATCATGATTTAGATGACAGAATTTGGAGGATAATTTTCTGATTTGGAGGACAACCAGTTCAGATCATAGGCATATTCACTTACCAGAGGAGCTATAATTTCCCCATGTTCTATTATCTAAGTAAACAAAAAACAAATAAGATGGTTAAATAAAAGTGGATTCTACATTTTCTATTTGAAGATGTGAATTAGAGGGTGATATACATTTTTTATTAGAAAAGCATGAAAGAACGCCATACCTGCCTCTAACTTACAGGTAAGAACAAAGGAGGTGTGGGGAAAAATCAGGAGAATCTTCATTTCGAAAAAAAAACGGTTGAAAAAAAAGTACAGTATATACTGTATCTCATAAAACTGACTGTTTGTATATAAACTGAGATATGGACAAAACAAGTATTATTTAAGAACTCAAAAAATGGAAATTAAAAAAACAGGAAAGAATTGTACTGAGACAAAGATGGAATAACTGTGAGTGATAAAGAACATTTCTTGACAATTGTTCATCTGCCAGACAATTTAATTATTCTAAACTGACATCTTAAATTCAGTTTCAATTTGCAAGGAGTGATGGTCTTGGAATGTACAACCAAATGGAAGAAGAGAGAATTAATACTGGAGACAAATGTTTACTTCAGACATATAATGAGATACAGCAGCAATTACGAAATACAAAACATTGCACAATGCTTGAATGTATTTGGTACGGATATAGATGTAATGCTATAGCTAGATGGGAGGTATTGCAACAGGAGATGTAATATATTCAGTAAAATTAATCAGCAATTCTAAACTGTAGTCTTTATTCTAATCTGTTGAATCACTGGTTGACTAATCCTGGATAAAATCTTTGTTATTATGATATTATTGAAAAAACTTTTTAATCATACTGAATAGACCCAACCACTGCTGTAAAATTTTACATTTAGGTACAGCCATCCCCCTTTTTGCCAAACTAGAAAACAGCAACTCCACGAGTAGCAAATCCCACCAAACAAAACATGTTTCGATAAATAGTGGCCATCTTGAAAAGGTCCATGTGCGGTATGGCAAGTGATTTTAAATGGTCATATCTTTCACCATGGGTACTTGCTGGCTATCAATACAGTGTTTTTTATTAAAACAATATGTTTTCTCTCAAGTGAAGTCCCCATGATAGTAAAATATCATTCTAACTCTCTGAATAATTATGGATTAGGGCCTACTTGGCACTTTTTTAAAAATGTTAGGCTCATTTTCTAAAAAGAGGATCTTGTTTTTCTTAATTTAAACACATCAAAAGTTTCTTCTACACTATATATTAACGATTTCTGAAAAGGGGATGCGTATTGAAATCCGTTAAAGTTAAAAACCACATATCCCATGTTATTTTCCCCTAGGGAAAACTCGTGCTATCCATTGTTTTCAGCATTATTTTGGTCATCGAAAATTGATATCTTCAAAACTAGACTTTCAATACCATTCTACTTTTGAAGAAGTTTTAGACCCCTTGTGAATAATCTTTTTATGCAATAAAAACAGAAAAAGAAAATCCTCTTTTGAGTAAATAGGTTCAACATTTTGAAAAAAATGTTAACATGGGGTCCCTATTCATAAATTTTCGAATTGTTCGATTGATATTTTTATCATCATGGGTACTTTACTTGAAAGAAAACATATTGTTTTAATAAAAACCACTGTATTTATGCCCAGAAAATATTCATGGTTCAATATATGACTGTCTAAAATCACTTGCCATACTGCACATGGACCTTTCTTCTTGAACAGAGCTCCTTTGTCCCTAAGTAATATGGATGAAATTTGAACCAAATCTGCCTATTAGTATTTGAGTAGATTATGTTTCGAGAAGAGTTCCTTTGTCTGTAGGTATATCACCATATATAATCTGAACAAAATATTTGAGTAATTGAAGAGAATGTTTTTTACGAAAAATGGTGGCCATTTTGAAATTCTGACGCCATATTTAAAATTCATTCTTGAGCAGAGGTCCTCCACCAATAAGGCATAAGCCTATAAACTTTGAATCAAATCTGTCAATCGGTATTTGATTTATTGCCCAGACAAACGAACAGACAGCTTTCCTATATCTTCAAAGAATACTCATTCAAGGAATACTCATTATCGATGCTGTTGGATTATTTAGCAAACTAGAAAATGACAACTCTAAGGAACTTCACAAAACAATTTTGAACAAAATATTTCTTGGAACAATATCTTTTGGGGATAATCCAAAACAGGAAGAATTTGATTTCAAATAGTTAAATCCCACATATATGCTATCAAAATCCATGTAGTAATGATACCCATCTCTTTAATTTGAGATGAAAACAGATATTCTTTAAATTACCACTTTTCCAAGTTATGCTGGAGATAAGTGACTGGACAGATGAACGGACATCATTTGTTGTTGCTGCATTGGTTTCTTCATTCATTTTCTTCTTTCATTGTCTTGATTTGATTGCGATGTTACTTATCTTTCTTCAGGGTCCACAGACTTGAGACTGCGCATAGGTGGGTTAAACGTTTTGATCCGGCCGGAAAACTCTCCCCTTCCCCTTACTGTTGGTCTTATGCTGATTTGTCATCTTAGTTTACCCTCTTTGCGGAGAAGATACTGTTTCATATTCATTTGTTAATGTTCTCTTCTCTCATTAATTTTCCAGTCCTTCATGATGATATTCTCCTGCATATTGTATTTAGTACATATCCATTTATTTCTTGTTATAGCTTTCTTAGTATACGAATTTAGTATGTTGCTCCTGTAGCCTTGACATTGTAGTTTATTTCCCAGGCTGGTAACTCTGTTTGTTGCATCTTCCAGTTGACTGCAGATTCTTGAAATCCTTATTATTTGTGATATAAATATTCCATAAGATTGGTTTCTAGGAATATTTCCAGATAGATCAGGATATGAGACTATTTGGAAATTGAAGTTTTCCCTTTTGTCGTATAGTTTTGTAGTGATTTGTTTATTTACTATTTTCATTTGTATGTCCAGAAAAGTTGTTTCTGTATCCTTCTCATTTTCCTTGTTTAACACTAGTTCTTCAGGATAGATGTTCTTCATATCAGTCTCCATTTCTCCGTCGTTGTTTATAGTACATAAATCATCGATGAATCTTGTAGTTTTAGCATATTTTAGTACTTTGGAGTAGTCTTCCCTATACATTTTCTCAATGGCTTGAAATTCATAACTGTATAAGTATAGGTTTGCCATATATGGCGCCGGATCGATTCCCATCGGTATTCCAATTTTTTGTCTTAGAATTGATTTCCCTGCTTTAAAGTAGGCTGTATCCACGATGAAATCCACTAGATCATTGCACTCTCCTTTGGTATATGCCTTTTTATTATCCGCCTTTCCACCCCATTTGGCTTCATCTCCACCTACTGTTATCTTTTGGTTAGTTCCTCCTCTGAAGGCTTTATCTATCACCCATTTCAGTTTTTCCTTTATGTCAGTTAGATTAATCTTTGTGTATAGTGTAGAGAAATCATACGAGGCTATGTTTCTTGCCCCGTTCCTTAAATTTACACTTTTAATGTTATCTAACATATTTTGGTTATTGTCACTGATCCACATCCTATTGGCACCTGTATAATCCTTAATCTTCTCACAGTATCTTTTGTTAGTATATTGCACTAGTTTAAGAATTTTGGTCAGTTTTTTGGCAGCTGGTTTTACAGAACTTTTCTTTGAGCCAATGATATATCTAAATTTAATTGGCTGTTTATGCATTTTAATTGTAAGATGAATCCTTGGTATAATATTTTGTTCTTCTCCCGGTTCAATCTTGAATTTTGTTTTCATTGTCTCTTTGATTTCCTCCACTATATCTTCTTCTCCTTTATCTTCTATCCTTCAGACGGATGGAGGGCTTTACAACAGCCCTATTGAACTTTGTTAGAATAATAAGCATTTATAGGAAATGCTGGTATGAACAACTATCTTCATCCAAATGTTGCCCTTTAATTTTGCCACTTCATGTACTACATTAGAAAACTTCATCCATCCTTCCTCTTACTTTAGTGAAAGGATTTCACATTGATCAAACCAAAATAATCTGCGATTTTATTTGTTTTGGTAATGCTCCAAATGATACTAAAACTACATGACAACAAACTTGGCCTTGTTCTATCTTCTATATTTACATTTACTGACCATTTAACAGAGGAAAGTATACTAATAACATTCCTTCATACATAATTATGCATTTATATGTACATGTACATGGACTACACAATATCCATCAAAGAATCTTTAAATGGGCTATGTTTATTTAGATAGGCATATCTTATTGTAAAGAGGTTTGTAATAATGTACTTTAATAATGATCTGTAAGCACCATCAAAAAAGGCCTTCTTTTCTGTAGATATCAACCATTGAAACGATCACTCATTTAGTAACTGAATTATTAACCTCTTATGGATAAGCAATTTTCAAGTTTTCATATTTTTTAGAAAAGAAAGGTTTTTACCAAAGAATGTTGCTGATGCAAGTGACGGATCATCATATTATAAAAACATTTTCTGGGGTAATCTAGACTGGGATATGAGAGACTGCACTTTTAAAATGAAATGATTTCTTGCCAATACATATTATTCTTTATCATGACAAATGCTTCATAGATTTAGAATCTATCATTTATACCCATCACAGATTTAGAATGTATGTGTAAACTCATTTGATGGAAATGGAAGGATTCAACAAAAAAAGAATAAATGCTGGGCATCTTGTTTAAAGAAATAGATTGGAAGACCCATTTACTATCAAACCACCTTATGTATTCATTTATAATCGTCGATGATTTCTCCATGCAGAGAAACACATAACGGCAACCTACTGCCTTCTGTTTGTATTTAAAATGTAGCGTATATCTATGGAATAAAAAAAAGAAATAAAAAAGTGTTGAGGTTATGATGCTATTGTTATGGTAATTATAATATCAATGTGTTATCTGAACCATTCTACTCACCAGCTGAGATTTTGAACTCTTTTTATCAGAAATGATGGCTTCATTCCAGACCACCTCCACTCCTTCATCCGTGTCCATCGCAAGATATGCTTGGTCAATTCCACGCACATCTCGTTGCTGGACCTAAAAAACATTTTGTGTGTTGATTGTACTGCAAATATTATATAAAAAAGTCCAGATTTATAGATATAGAGCCATATAATCTAGCCAAAGGAGGAACTAGACTATATTCTTTCGTCTGATTTTTTTAAAAATTTGGAATGCAAATATTCAGACCCACAGTACATTAGTTTTGTATTAAAAAACATTTTTTTAATATATAGGAAGCAAGGAAGATTGGAAGCTGATACTAAAACTCGATTCTCCATAGCCTGGTATAGATCAAATTGGTTACATTACTCATATTTTGAAGATTAGAACTGCAAAAGAAGATTGAATGCCACATTCGCATCGTCCATCTTCTACCTAAATACTTGGTCCAAAGACTGCCTTAAAGAAATATTTTTTACTTAATTGTTCCATGCAAGGCAACAGAGGATTGAGTTTGAATAAATGGCTGCCAATCCTCCCGTCCTTGCATAAGAAGTTCTAAATAAATGGCAGGTGGAGTGAAGTTATTTGCATATTTGTGACTTCCCCTAGCTTTCTTTCTACTTGACAATACGCTACAGCTTTTTACAGCATTTAATTTTAGTTACTACTTAATTACTCAGATGCGAGTAGGTAGTTACCAGTTTCGCCACCATGTGGCTGATTCAGGGGAATTAACATGACAGGGTATTACAAAATTCCCTTAAACTTGGATATGCATCAGTTTTAGTGGTTCACTTTTCATATTACCTTTATGTATCTGATACTTATACAAATTAAAAAATATGTCCAGTAAAAGAAAATATTATCTGCCCAACACAAGAAAAGACATTTCACTTTTTGTGCTTTTACAACATGGGGTCTATCGGGAATCTCCCCGACCTAGAAGTCACATTTTCAACGAAAAATAAATTTTCAAAGTTGATAAACTATTTTCAAAACCACATTTCTCAATGTAATTTTACATGTAGATTCCAAATATGACATCAGTTTGACTGAATTGTGAATTTTTAATGACGCAAATCAAGATTATTTCTACTTGCATCTGGGATATTGAAATGTTATGTTTATTTTGTGAAGCAATGCTTCTCCAAATTAATAATTGTTTGCATAGAATTTCACTGCAATTTCTACAAACCAGTACATAAGGGGCCAATGCAAAAGTTCAATGAACTAAATTTTGATAGTTAATACCCAGACACCTCCCTCCCCCTGTTAACTAAATATGAGAAATGTTGATCCTCGCAGCATTTTCAAAAGTACATATATCCAAATGCACTTGAGTTCACCATATCGCCCTGTTCAAGTAAATTGAAGGGTATTTCTTGCACTTCCATATATTCTTGATGATTGATTTTGTAGAAGTATACACATCTTGAACTAGTTTTTTAAACCCCAGTCCCGCAGTGTTGACAGTCTTACATGTGAATGAAACAGATGACTGTCCCCAGGTGACTTTCCCATATGGCTGTCCGAGGACTGTCCCCTGCTTGTGCCTGATGTAAAGGATTGACAATTGAGCTTAAAAAGCGTGGTTATTGGCACCACGTCAACAATATTTCATTAATTTTGTGCAATCATTTTTAGTTCCAAATTTCAGTTGCATGTAAGACGATTTTACCTTTCTTACCCACTCCATGGGCTTGCCCACTCCAAGCGAGTCACTCCATAAATTTTATGTGATTATGATAACATTTTTTCTTTTCATGGGGAATGGGGAATCCACACTTGACGAAATGACCATGAGGAAGATTCGCGGGAATTCAATAATCGATATCGGCAGAGCTTATCTATTTGGGACAATAAAACCCTCCCCCTAACTATCAAAATTTAATTAATTATCCAACATCGATCTTTTGCATTGGTCCGGCTGAAAGACTAACTTTTAGTCAGTCTGTCGGATATATGGAGAACTTGTAGATCAGAGTTAGGTCAGTTTTTGTTAAGTAAGGATGTCCTGTTGTATACTCAATGCCAATGGTATATGAGCTATCCAAAATTAGTATCTATTTTTAGACGATCGCGCCAATTTTGTGACATTTGACCATGGGCTTTCAACTAGAAGGGTAGGCAACTTCCCATATTTCATACATAAGCATTGCCTTTGGCTTTTCAAAATTGGAGAATGTACACATTCCAAGAAAAACTTATTTTGTCCTTTTTATGGATGATTTAAAGAAATAACTCAAAAATAAAAACATGATCATCTACATACATGTTGATAATTAAACAAAAAATGGAATTCATTGTAATTATGACAATACAGAAAGTGAACATTCACCCACAAATTATATATTTTTTGGAATGTGTTCTTGAATAATTACCCATAATGCAATACTCGAAGAGAACATCTTGATACCTCTTAATCTTATTGGTCTTTTTGTTTACTTTTATATGAGATTGAATTTATTTTACGTAAAGGCTAGAGTACCGACAATTGTCGGTACTCTAGACTCTGATGTGGTGGCACGCTAGAGGACCGACAAATAAATTGTCGGTACGGGAGATATGCTGTGTTTACACGCTAGAGGACCGACAAATATTAATTTTCGAATTTTCTGGCACATGCGCAATGCGCGGGGGGATATTTCAGATATCATACGGATATTTTGGGAACAAGTGCAAAACCCGGGGAGGGCATTAGCCCCGGTTACCCGGGGATTACCAAACCCAGTCAAAAAATGGTAGCCCGGGAACAGGGAATGGTAGTAAACGTTGAAAGGCCCAATTAGGAGCTATTAATGCAGAGTAAACGGCTATATATATTCTAAACAGACAGGATATTTCTCCTGAGCCGATCAGGCGTAGAAAGAGGCGTTTGCTACCCATTAGATAGAAGAAAATAGCTAGAATGTTTTTATTTGAAGCTTATGGTATGAGGTTCAATATCCATCCGCCAAAAGGTATAACCCCTATATAGTCCATTTAAAAACCTGTGGTATCGTTCTAAATAACCCATAGTTGGCTTCTCTTTCTAGGGTACCTAGTATGCCACTATTTGATGTCAAAATAAAGAGGAGTTCAACTTTCATTTGAATTACGAAAATAGCGATGTAGGTCAAAATAGTTCCGAACGTGAGCATGTTTACTACGCGTTTGCCCGTCATATCAGAATTGAGGAAGTGGTAGCAAACGCGAGTTACAATAAACGGACGCTGATATCTCAAAAAGTAACCTGACTCCCTATAATTTGATGTAGGTCAATCGAACCCCTATATGGACAGGTGCATTTTGATATATAACACTATGGGGGTAAGCGTTTCATAGTTGGTCACGAACGCCATATGTGCAAAGTATTGTTATGAATTTTCGAATTTGGTGTTGGATTACGGTACTCAAATCTTATAGCACAATTTTTGATGGAAGTTGCATTTGGCTCCTTTAGTTAATGGCCACGATTCCATCTCGCATGAGAGAGCTACCAAACGCAAAGTAAACAGTGATATATTCCAAATGAGATATTTCTCCTGTGCCATGGCGTAGTAAGGGTAGAGAGCGACGGGGGCGAAAGCATCCCCTCCCCTAACTGTATATATCGACCCATTAGATAGAACAAGAAAAGAGCTTTAAAATGTTTTTTAATTCAAGCTTGTAGGACAATTTTGATGGAAGTTGAATCAATTTTTGTCGAAACAAATTATGGCTCACTACAAGTTAATGCCTGTACGATTCCATACTGCAAAAGGAGCACTATGCCCCCCCCCCCTTCAAAAGAAAAAAGTAGGTATTGCCGGGATTCGAACTCGGGACCGAGTGTGTTTGAGTCGTGCTCGCTAACCACTATGCTACCAGTGATGTGGTTATTACTCAAAGTAAAAGTATTGCATTTATTTATGAAATTGTCGGCTCTCTATCAAAAACACGTAGCAGCCACTTGCGTACCGACAATTGTCGGTTCTCTATCTGGCACTACTAGTTGACGATAGAGTGCCGACAATTGTCGGTACCCCAGCAAATACCCCTGGTCAGTCTCCAGTACCGACAATTGTCGGTCCTGGAGCCACTCCGTTTATTTTATGCTTTAATCATATTGAAAATTGATTTTTATTCAAAATAATACTAAAACATGTACATTTATCTAATACTTCTTGAAATATTACCATAACAGAGAAGCATGGCATTGCTCATTTTGAAGGTCTCATGTTATTACACAGAGTTGCATACCCTTCTAATTGAAAGCCCATGATTTGACATAATTTTTTGTCTAATTTTTTTACATCATCTGTCACTTCTCTTTGTTCATCATTTGTATTTCTATAGTCATGGTTTGTAACATCCATATCAGCTGATATTATACAACATGAATACTACCCCTCTTCGTCAAAAAACAAAATGAAATATTTAAATCACTTGCTTACCACTTCACATCTTTTTTGCCATCGCCCACACGGACTTTCCTCTAAGATTTCACTTTCGTCCGACTCTTCTCCACTATCATGGCCACTTGTATCCTTCTTCTCGGGTTCAGCAGTATCTGACCCATTACTGCTGGCCTTTTTACTGGCCATTACACCGAGTGATCATCAGAATTTTGATAAAATAATTCAGCTTTGAGAAAATAATATTTTTCAGGAAGTAAGCTTGGGTTGTCATTGGAAGAAGGAATGTACTTTTTCGAAAATGCGAAATAAATTAGTAACTTAATCCAAATTTATAATTTTACATTCATCAGTAGCTTTAATAAATATTTTCCTTGTATAAACAAATTTTATATATACAAAAAGTACGTTTTATATCGATTCATTATTGGTTTCGTCTTTGATTCACTTACCCTATCACGTGACAGTCACATTGGTGTCCAAAATGTCAGACACCGTGAAAGTTGAGTCTAATGAAGAAACTCCACTTTTAGGCGCTAAAACAAGAAAATCATGTAAGTATGATAAATAATATTTGTTGATATATTTTTTTATTATACTTTTAATTCCACAGCGTTGATTTCATTCACTTTCGCAACCAGTAGACTAAAATGGGGGACAAAAATAAATCTCAACCCTCAAAAGTTGTCACAATGAGCTAAATTCTAAGTTTCGTGTCTCAAACTCTCCCAAGTGGTAGAAAAATAATTCCCGCTTACTTTAAGTAGCACAATAAATGAATCCAAAGCTTCATACCTGCAAATGATGGATAAATCCCTACCAAATCGAACGAATGTTTCCATGAATCGCCATGTTTGTGATCCAAAGAGGACTGACTCCCAGAATGCAACATCAGGTAACCTTATTTACTCGTGACAGATGCCGTTCCGCCATTTTGAAAGCTGACACGTGTCATGTTGCATTCTGGGAGCCAATCCACATTGGGGCGTAATCGGGCTCCAAAATCACCTCAACATTTGAAGAGTCAGCATTAACGTGTGAATTCCACTTTAAATTTTTAAGTTCTTATTTGTTATTATGGACACGAATTCCACTATATCTGGACTTACTAGGACGGAGAAAATAGAGCACTGAATACACTGAGGTAAGAATTTATTACATGTGCGACAGCATGTAATTTTCATAGCTTTTGTAATTCTTTATGTCCCCTACTGTACTATACATTTCGAAAAAACCGGGTGCATAAAAATACGAATATACAGGGTGTTCAGGAAATAAAGATAATAATGTCATAACTTTTTTATTTATTCATGGATTTCAATAAAATTTGCAGGGATTGTAGTTTCAACATATTTAAACTTTATTTGGAGTTTCAGCTTCAAGCGATTTGATTTGTCATTTGTGTAGTTGGCATAGCAACGCAAAGAGCGCTAAGGCGGGGCACATGGAATAACTACAGTAGTTTCTGTGTTACATTTAGCATGGCAAACCGATTTTGACTCCATATTTAAAGCTTTCTTGGTGCATCTCCGTGATAAAATCCTTCTATTGTTTTGTTTTATGATATAAAAGTCAAATAAAATGCTTTTTTAATGATATTCAATGGGATTTTCATGACTTAATGCAGGCATTACAAAGAAAGCGACCCAGGATGCAATTTCTCTTCCCGTTGGACAATTCCCCCTCCAATACTGCTGCCATAATCACTAAAAAAAATTGATCAGCTGAGAGTAGATCAACTCAAGCATCCACCTTATTCACCCAACCTAGCGCCAAATGATTTATACTTCTTCGCTGAATCAAAACGTAACTTAAGAGTACAGTAGAACCTGCTAAGTGGAACACCTCCGTAAGTGGAACACCTCGCAAGTGGAACACTTTTTCAAAGTCCCGTTTTAAAAACCTATTGGCTTAATGTTAATTGAACCTCTGTAAGTAGAACATCTCCAAACTTGAACAGTGAACACCCAATATTGAAAAATTAACCTGCTAAGTGGAACAGTCAATTTCCATAAACTTCAATATTGACACATGTATTAAACAGAATTAATCTCCTACAGTGATATATGAGTATGAAAACAGGTAATAATGTGATAATGACAAATTAGGATTTGAACTGATTACAATTCAGCGAATTGGAATAACCTCCTATAGAGGTCAACATGTGATGCAACCACTAATTAGTTTGATAATTAGGAAATTAGCATTTCATAGGATTATCATTCAGAAAATTGGATTAACCTCCTGTAGAGATGGACATGTGATCCTATCACTAATTGATACCCCTTGCTGTTTGTTTCAAACTTGATAAGTAAGATTAAGAATGTCAGTTAAAAACAATTGTATTATTAGCAGTAGGTACAAATCTTTAAAACTTAATTGAGAAATCTTTTTACTTGAGACTGGCAGAATGAGGAGGATTTAGAATGTCAGAAAACATTTTTGGCAGAATGAGTAGGATTATGAATGTCAGATACCTATTTGAGTAAAACAAATGGATTATTAATAGTATATGCCTGCTCTGCAATGAAGGAGAGAATCATATTTAGTCATATATATAAATCCTATATTTTATTCTTGTATATTCTTAAAATCCCCGCGAACGCAAAACCTCCGTTAGCGGAACACCTCCTAAGTGGAACGTTTTTTGACAGAACGGAGGGTGTTCTCCTTACACAGGTTCTACTGTACATGCATTTGAGAATACCCATGCCATACGTTCACATGTGTTAAACGGACTTCAGGAAATGAGTCAAGAAGAATTCTGTGAAGTGTTTGAAGAAGGTTCAAGAGGCAAAGACTTTGTGTCTAAAATTGAGGAAATTATATAGAATAAATTGATAAATTGGCAACGAATTTCAGGCTTATAGTTATAACTATCTTTAAACATCCATTTTAAGTCATAAACAGTTATTCCACCTGCCCGCCTTAGCGCTACTCGCGTTGCTTTGACAACCACAGAATCAACCAATCAAATCACCTGAAGCTGAAACCCCAACAATATGGTAAAATATGTTAAAACTATAATCTCTGAAACTTTCAATGCAATCCATAAACAAATAAAAAAGTTATGACATTATTATCTTTATTCCTGAACACCCTGTATATCATAATTAGATCATTAGAAAACATGTAAGATTTGTTTTGAATTTACAAAAATGTATGTAACTTCCTTCAAAATTGAGCTAGAAGCTTCAAATAAAAAGCATTTTAAGGCTCCTTTCTTCCTCTATCATCATCATGGTCATATTTTCATTGGTTATGGGGGGGGGGGTGATCACACCATCGCACCCCTTCCTGGCTACGCCTAATACATTGTAAGATGTAACAATTTACACTTCAGTGGACGTTTCAACAGAAATTGGGATAACTTAAATTATGATTGATAATCAAAATCTTACACGTTGCATCATGTAAATTAACACACCTCACCTCGATAGCTATTTACAGATTTAAATCATAATCTAAACAATCATAAATCATAATCAAAACAATTCACGTACCAACATACGAGCTATTGAAAATAGAGTAAGATTGATTTGTCATGTTTTTCAAATCGTCAAATCGCCCCCCCCCCCCCCCCCCCCCCCCGCCGCCATAACCAATGAAAATATGACCATGATGATAGAGGAAGAAAAGAGCTTTAAAATGCTTTTTATTAGAAGCTTCTAGCTCAATTTTGAAGGAAGTTACATACATTTTTGTAAATTCAAAACAAATCTTACACGTTTTCTAATGATCTAATTATTATGTTATATATTCATATTTTTCGTTTTTTTGGGTACCCGGTTTTTTCGACCGGGTACCAAGTTTGAACCCAGCATGGAGGATTTACTACCCGGTACCTGGTTTTTGTATAAATCATCAATGTATCCATTTTGTTTATATTTCTCTATAAATGACGCAGAGATTCTAAGCAGAAGATTAAAATAAAGTGAACTGTCAAGAAAAACTTAGATTGGCATGAATTTACAAGGATAAACACCGCCTCTAATGCAATTCCATACGACAATCGAACACATTAGAGGCGGTGTTCACCATCTAACACAGTCGTAGATATAATCAGTTAATATGGTACAACGAAAATGGGACTTCTGCGCATGTTAAAATTTTTCTTCAAAACTCAACTTTTGTTCAAGTTGATACGATCGTCTTTCGAACTAGTGACTTACCTCATTCGAGAGATCATAAAAGACTTTATCTATACTGAAAATCTTAGATCCCGGCATAGTAGAATACGCCGTCAGTCCGCATTTGATTTTTTGAGGTGAGTTTCGTAGATCGCCAGATTTCTCCGACTGATATCGGGTCATCTCAAATTGGTTTGTTTATAAATACAAATTTCTTTACCCTTGTAAGGCGCATGCGCGAAATTGATTTATAAACGTTATCGGTTGATGGTTTTCTCCCGAGCATGTGTGAAGTCTAATGAACACTTATGACGGAGACCGGAGCAAACATTACTGGCTCTCGAACGAAATTCCAAGATTCAGATCATTTCGCTGTGTTTGCTAAGCATGTATACATGAATGACAAGCTGTTTTGAGTAGACCAGGTACCTGTTTTGGACACAACATTGATTTAGCTTGACATTGATGTGCACATTGGCACTTTTGAGCATGTTAATACAAGTTTTTACACATTTAGCAGGAGACGGTTTTCGAAAAATCTGTTATCTAATTCACTCGATTATCGTATGGATATTTATTTCTGCTGACATTTTAACACCACATCACATAGAATTATGATGCAGAATGATAATAAAACAAAAAACAACTACTAAATTCCACTTGTTATTTCACAGGAGGTAAAAATGCACACTGCCTAGATTCTTTGTAAGGGTGGTCAGACATCGGATTGGCCGCCATATTTGAAATGAAAATATCACTAAATAGAGCTTTGCACATGTCAGAACATTTCGACTGTAATAGCTAGCAAATTGCGGGAAACGCTTTCCTGGCTTATCTGGGTAACCATACTTACCAAAGTCACACAAATTATTGATTAATTATTTTGCTCCAACATCAAAGTGTTCGACAGTTCAAGACTAGGGCTCACTACCTGACACCCATGCCTTAATCTTATACATGTACTGTCTTTTCACCTTTTTATTACTGTTTTTTAGCTCATGAACTTGTTGATGTTCATGTTTTATCTTCTTGTACTGACCCGCGATATTATGATCAGTAAAGTTGATAAAATTGTGTATTTAAAATGAGGAATGATGATGAACTTAGGCCCTAGATTTTTTAGTGTCCAAATTCCTAGATTCTCGCATTTGAATCCTTTGTTTCATATACAAGATGGTCCATTTTGTTTCTTTCGAAAATACTCCAAAAGTGTTGCAGAAGATTTTCTTCTGTATTACTGCCAGGACAGTCCACAGTCCCACGATTCGTGTGATTGTCTTGCGAATTTGATCAAGATTTGGCTTATATGCAGGTAATGCAAATTCCATTGAATGTTCCATGAAATTCCAAAAATTCCTGCAACATAAAATATTTTAATGTGATTATCATGTTGATTAGGAGCGAAGTTTCAATTATTAGAGATTTGAAGTTCTGGTATAAAGGGGGTTTAAAAAGACAAGATGGGACTTCTAATGGCATGTGAATCTTATTGGCCTCTCATTCCAAATCATAACAAAATATATGTATCATGATTGTGCATCTGCAAAAAAATATTTCGTCTTTATTATTAAATTATCTTTTCTGACAATTCTACCACTGTATTTGTCTATAAAGAACCAGAACTGATTGTTTATTTCAGGTGGTCTTGCACAGAGGTATGTTCTGGCCATAATGGGCTTCCTAGGGTTCGTGACGGCATATTCCCTGAGAGTTAACTTCAATGTAGCTTTAGTTGCCATGGTTAACTACACAACAGTTGATAATGTGACATCAGATGATTGTCCTGTACCAAAGAATCTAAATTCCACAGCTGAACCAGCTAAGGTAGGTGCACTGCAGGTACAAGGTTAAGTGACCCTTGATGAAACCTGAGGATCAAAAAACCTGAATTTCCCTTCCTTTCAGGTAGGTTGATTTATATCCCAAAAACAAGGATGGGGGATATAGAGACTGGCTCCATCTATACGTCCGTCCATCTATCCATCTGTACATCTGTCTGTCTGGGCAATAACTCATATATCATTGGACCAACATCAGTATTACAATTTCTTATGACAATTTGGCGACCATTTTAAAGAATGGTGGCCATTTTTATGTGTCTTATTTTACAATATTTGATATAACTAAAAAAGTTAGGAGAGGGATTTTGTAAAAATGGAAGCCATGGCTGTTATATATGGGATTTGCAACACCCTGGCAATGCTGTTATCTAGTTTATACATATTCTTGCAATTTTCTACTTTTAATGTATTTCTTAGTAGATGAACAAATAATTCATTTATTTAGGCCACAAAAGTCCATTGTATCTTATTGTAATTAATGAGATATCAAGCATTTATTGCAAATTCTGTCTAACAAAGGAACCTTAATACATTTTTAAGAACATTGTTTTTGATTTTTTTTAGGCAGGGGAGTTTAACTGGACTGAGTATACTCAAGGTGTCTTACTCAGCTCATTCTTCTATGGCTACATATGTACAAATGTTCCTGGAGGTTGGCTTGCAAGCAGGTGAGTGCCTCAAGAAATTACTCATGAATTTCCTTATCTGGTCCTATTGTATTGCTAAGTGTTATATTATTGATTGCTAAGATAGATAGCAAGGTTAGCCAGGATAGTCATTCTAGCATCTGTTAACTTTGTGGTAAAAATAGTGCTTGTTCTATATACCTCCCAAATTTGACTTCCATTGTCTTTGCAATGTACAAAAGATGAATAGTCAATAGCTTGCATTATCATATGCATCCTGCATGTATTAATCAAATTGGACAGAAGTCAAAACCACCATTGAAATTAAAACATGAAACTTGCTATGTTTTAGATATGGTGGGAAGTGGATATTTGGCATTGGTGTCCTTGTGCCTGCCCTCTTGTCAATGCTGACCCCTGTACTAGCTAGGATAAGTGTAGATCTGATTATTGCTGTAAGAGTACTAGAAGGAATGGCTCAGGTAAACTACAATAAAGGAGGACTGTCACTGAATGGGATTATTGTCCCAATTGTCCAATGTTACCTTTGGAAACTGACTTTTGGAACTGGTTCCTCATGTTCCAAAAATTATGGAACTACTCATTAGCATAATGGATATTGCCCTTATTGCTAGTTTAGTGAATTATAATAATGAATGAAATCAATAATATATCAGTCAGTAATTTTACTTGGCTTTTAAAGTTTGAAGCAACATGTATGTTCTTAAATTGTGTAATATTGTGAGGTGTTTTAGTTGAAAAAAAGTTTTAAAGATGAATGCCAGAAAAGTGCAACCCCCCCCCCCTCCCCACTCTATCAACTTAGGCTTGCATCATTCTCTTTGTATCTCAAATATCTTCAAATCTGAATAAAGAGGGAAGTTTTGCAAGTTTGACAATTTTAACAGCCTAAATATCTTTACTTAGTTTGGAGTATTTCAAGGCATTATTTTACTGCATTGCAGGGTGTGCTGTTCCCTGCCATGTGGGCATTGTTAGGAAAGTGGTGTCCTCCCCTAGAATCAAGCAAGATTGCAGGCATTGTCACTGCAGGTAGAGAGGCTATTAAATACAATTCTATACTATTATGACATTTTTCAATTGTGTACATCAATTCAGATTTGATACCATTTATTTAAAGGGAACCATCATCTTTTATGCATTCTTGGGGTTAAGAAAACCAGATTAGCCCCTTTTCTGACTGCTGATCTGGAAAGCTAACTTGGGCACGGAATGGAATAAAAAATAAAAAATAAAAATTAAAATGATTAATTGTACAATTAAAAATATCTCACCAGATGATATATGCAATTATATCTCAATTGAATTAATGACCTTGTTATTAAAATCCCTGGCCATGTGACGAGATGTCACAATAACTATTGTTTAATTCACTTCAGGGAGTCAATACAATTCCATGTTCTTATCTATTTTAGGCTGTAGTTTTGGTTCCATCATTAGTCAGCCTGTATCAGGCCTTTTATGTGACTATGGGTTTGCCGGGGGTTGGCCTTCTGTCTTTTATGTATTTGGTATGTATTCACATAATATTCTTAAAAATGTGTATGCGTTAATATTCTTAAAAAATGTGTATGCGTGCAACATGCCACTAGATCATCTGTTTCATTAAAACATTATTACAAAACATTATGTATGTCTCTTAAAACTATGTTAGATTAGTCATTTAATTAGTAACACTACTTACATAAATTGTTCCAGGACAGATAGTGTAAAATAAAATTATTGATTTTATTTTCTCCAATAGAATTGCCATAATTGCAGGTTATCTAAATTTTAAATATGATTTTTTAGCCTATTTATTTCCTATTCATTTGTAAAATAATGTATTTACATGATAAAGATATTCTGTTGAGCCAGAATAGTAGAGGTTGCACTGGTAAGGAATTTCTTCCATTCCATTCTGCAAATCAGAGCAGAAGTACAATGCTAAAAAAGTAATATGGAGGGAATCTTTTTTTTGCAGTTGAAGTGGTTTCTTTTCTCAATTCTTGAATGTCGTGTTTCACTTTAATCTTCCATCCTTTGGCTTTTTCATTTCATTATGTTTATTAGTTTTAAAAAGATAATGATCTGCCAATCTAAAGTTTGTAATTTTGCAATCTGCTGTGCTGTTTATGAATGAATTTGAGATAAAATAGAAGTACAGATGTGATTGGTCTTTGAATATTGCTCCATGTACTATATTGCTTTGAATCTAGATTTTTCAGCATATGTCATTAAGTAAAGATATTTATGCATCTTTCTTTCCTATGTCAGCATTTCTTGCAATTACAAAATTTAACAGTTATGTTTTTCAAAAGCATGTTATTTTTAATCACCAAACAGAAAATTACGGTGTCGGGTAAATACTAGTAGATATCATTTGTCATAATAAGCGATCAGTTACATGTATAGTTGAATTTATGAACCTCTGACCATCCTTCTCAAAATAAAATTCACTGATTATGTAATGACAAGTCCCAGGAATACAAAAATGTCAATGTGCCTTCCATCTTAATCATGAACACTTAATTCTCTTGATTCAACCTCATGACTCCTTGGTTGACTCTTTGGTTGTAGGTGCAGTGTCCTGTGTGTGGTTCATAGCCTGGTGCTTCCTTGTCTACAGCTGTCCTTCTAGTCATCCATTAATCTCAACTCACGAAAGACTCTTCATAGAGAGCTCTTTGGGTACAGTCAAGCATGAGAAGGTGGGTGGATTGATTATGTACATACATGTATATAGCGGTTTGAGTTATGGCCACCCAGACAAGCTGATTTTTTATTTATTTATTTATTTTTAATTAAACATAGAACAATAACATTGCAACTGGTTTGTCATGCAGTTTTGATCATCTCAAACTCTTCACATTATACATAAATTGTAGCGAGTCTGTATGAAAATGTTGCCAAATACTTGTCTTTAGAGGGTGCAGACAAATATAGTAAAATATTGCTTTATTATATATAATGCATTTAAATTGTAGAAATAGTCAAGGATGATATGTAATTTATATGTTAAATTATGTCCATAGGTATATTCTTTACTTTAATATCTGATACTACAAATATTCCAGCCCCCTCCCACCCCATGGTTGGCCATGATGACCTCATTGCCTGTTTGGACCATTATCGTGGCAACCATATGTGATGACTTTGGTTTCTACACATTGATGACATGTCTCCCAACATACATGAAACAAGTGCTTCACTTTGATATGACAAAGGTAAAAAATATATACACATATTACATGTTAGATTGTCTGGCAGAGGTATTTATTATTTGCTAAGTGGCGCAATATGTTCCTATGTGTATTTATTTTGTAAAGGTCTAAACTTACTGGTGAATACAAGACCTTTTCATATCCTGAGCATTTTAGAATCCTTGTTGAGCTGATCATCACCATGTTGTTAATTGATTTAGCTCCAAGCCTTATCTATGATACCAACCAGCATACTTTTGGTATTATGGTTAGAACCTGTGTTTAAACTGAATGTGCATTAAAAGATTGGTGGTTTCAGAATTTTTGATTGTTAATTATTACTTCACATGTAAATGGATATCAGTATACTTTCATCTTGTAAAATGTTGAACCTCTCTTTCGCCATGAGCAATTTCCGAATCAGTTTATGAGTCAATTGTCATACAGGCCTCAGTGATCTCCCCAGCATTAAAGCAAGTAGGCGCAGCACCCTCATGAGAATTTAAAAATACGCCAGCACCCACCTGAGTATCAATTTGCACCCACTTGAAGAGAAAAGTCATGAAAAATAGGCATATTTTGACCAATTTTGGTCTAAATTAAGAAATCAAGATTTTTGCACCTACTTGAGAAAAAAATTCTGAGGAAAACACTGGGCCTGTCAGAGTAAATGTTGAATATGAACTTACAGAATGGCTTGCTTTCTGCTGCTCCATTCTTGTTTTGGACCTTAACCTCAGTTCTTGCAGCGATTCCAATAGACTACATGAGACAAAATAAGATCCTTGACACTGGAAAAATCAGAAAACTATTTAGCTCATTTGGTAGGCTATTGGCATGCCTTATTGGTGCACTCTAATGCATGATTTTCTATTCAAACTTTGACATTTCGCAAAATATAATTAACTGCATATTACTTTAACCTTGTTTATGTAATAAATGAGTGATTAAAGGGTTCCGATAAGCTTCCCGTATATTTGTTAAAATGAAAATCTCCCTTTTATAAATGTGTGACGATCTAAACTGTACCAATGTTATATAAAAGTTAGAGGTGTTGACACAACGACCTCGAGCCTTTGAACCCTTGAGTATTATTCCGGGATCGAGCCTTTTATACTAAATGGTGAGCAACACCAGAAACGAGCGTTCGATTTGCTAAACGATATGCGTCACCCTTTAAAACTGTTTTAGATGAATTATGAAACAATGCCATTGGCTGTATAATTTGAGTGTGACTTGTAATGTGGACCAATGAAACTGTTGGAATATGATATTGGAATCTCATTATGTTTGAATTTCTTGTCTCAAAGATTGCAAAGATATATACAGTGAAATTTGTTAAGTGGAACATCTCTGTAAGTGGTACACTTTTTAGAGTCCGGAGATCAACCGACTTAATGTTAAATGAACCTGTATAAGTGGAACACCTCCCAAGTGGAACACTTTTTAGAGCCCCAAGATCAACTGACTTAGTGTTAAATGAACCTCTATATGTGGAACACCTCCAAAGTGGAACACTTTTTAGAACCCCAAGATCAACTGACTTAGTGTTAAATGAACCTCTGTATGTGAAACACCTCACAAGTGGAACACCAAAGGTACCAGAGGTACCAAAGGTGTTCCACTGATACAGATTTTTCTGTATATAAATTTCTGAGGATGAGAATGTGAATGGGTGTGAATGTAAATCTTGAGAATGATGAATTGATGAGGATGAAGTATTTGAATCTGACTGTGACATGACTCTGGAGAATGTTGATGGTCAAATAAATTTTATAGAATCTCACTGAAATTGTCAGACATTATTTACAATAAATAAAATATGAATATATGTTTTTAACCAGTAGCAGTATATTAAAGATTGGTTAAAAACTGTAGAAATGGGTGACGTAGTGTCATTACTTAGTGAACACCCTATATTATAGGCACTCACATTCATAGATTTCTCAATTTCTGATTCTATAACCTTGATGTAAATAAATGCACTTAGTATTAGTACTTTAAATAGTTATTGAAATGACACTTCTATTTGTAGAATGGGTTTCTCTCATCTCTGCCTTGGTTGGTCAACTTCTTTGTGAATTTATTGATCATCTATCCTGCTGACTATATCAGAGAACATGGCATTCTTCGCACCAGAAATGCAAGAAAACTGTTTAACACTCTAGGTAAGACACTCTCACGTTTGCACTAAACACTACATACAATGTCAAGAAATTGTTTGGTTTTGGCGCCTGGGTGGTTGAGGGCTCTCACTAAATGTGATCATTTTGGGAAAACCTTGTTTGAATTAATGCACTTCCAAGAAGTGTTTCAGTAATAAGGGTGACTAGGTGATTTAGCAATTAATAAAATTAGTTACATGTAGAATTTAGTGCGAAAGTTTTGAGACAACTCCTAACTCCTAACATTGTATTTATTGTTTTACTTTCAAAACCGCATGAGACTAACTTGGAGTATTAGTCCAGCGTTGTGGTTATGTATTGAATAACATTTAAGTAAGGTTCTGTATATTAGATAGAATTAAACAGTCATGGATAACTACAGTAGTTGTTACATGAATTATTTTCTGTGATTAATTCCATATGTAAAAATAAGAAATTTTTATTATTTGAAATTTCACTTTTGAATCTAAAAAATTAAGAGTGATTACTATGTGAAATGCATTTTACATGATATACCAGTATTATGCATAGGCTTTAACAGTGATGCTTCAGCTGTATTATACATTCATACAGATACATAGGCTTCAACAGTATTATGCATTGATTTAAGGTATGGGTGGTGCAGGATCATTCCTGGTGGTGCTAGGGTTTTATAAAGGCTGTGACTACTTGGTCCCTGTTGTCCTATTGGTGGGAGCGTTGGCAATGAGTGGTATATCTGTACCTGGTTATATGGTGAACCATCTGGATATTGCCCCAAGATTTTCAGGTAAGACATTTGATTGGATTACTGACAGTAATATAGCTATCCCGTAGCATTTTTATCCCATCAAACAAAGTTTGGAGGGATATAGGGAACGCCTCCGTCTGTCCGTCTGTTCGGGCAATAACTTGAATACCGTTGGCCCGATTTTGTTCATATTTTGTACAAATATACCCAATGGGGGTAGAAGTTCTGCTCGAAAACTGATTTTCAAAATGGCCACTTATTTAAAAATGCCGGCCATTTTAGTGCCGATTTTACAGTAATTTAGATGCAATATGTAAAACTGTAATAGCATGTATTTTAATTGTAAAAATTCTATAGGACATTAATAAAGCTAGAAATGTAGAGTAAAGAAGCACATGGCAGGCATCTTGAAAAATGGTGACCTTTACTCGTTATATTACGATTTTTGCTGTAACTCGAAAAGTAGTGGAGCGATTTTGTTCATATTTGGTATATGTGAATACTATAAGCATGGCACACTGTCTAGTGACACTTTTGGAAGAAGGCAGCCATTTTGAAAAATGGCCGTCATTTTAACATATTTTACTATAACTCGAAAAGTAGTGGAACGATTTTGTTCATATTTGGTATATGAATACTATAAGCATGGCACACTGTCTATTAAATGACACTTTTGGTAGAAGGCGGCTATTTTGTCTATATACTTTGTTTGTAAAAATGACAGCCATGGCTGTTCGATGGGATTTGCTTCGTTTTGGTGTTGCTGTTGTCTAGTTTAGTTTTGAAGCTGATGATGGTACAGATTTTCATATATCAAGGGTAAAACAAACATTTGTTATAAATGTTGTACCCTTGATATACAAATTCAATCAAACGCATTGAATCTAAATGCTTTTCATATAAGATGTACCTCAATTTAAACATATTGGTTGTTTTCTTCAGGGTCAACTATGAGTCTAGCTAACACTTTGTCTACCATAAGTGGGATGGTAGGACCTTACCTGGTGGGGTATCTCACAAATGGACAGGTATGAGAGGATGGGGTTATTTTTAACAACTCAATTTTCTATTCATAATTTTTTTTGGGGAATTGGTGGCACAAGAAAAGCAGGTATTTTAAGGTTGCCAATGGACTTAAATGGAAATTGTCGAGAAAATATCATTATTTAAGATTCAGAAATATCTAAATTCAGAAATAAGAATGAAAAAAGGCATGACCTGATTTTATAGAATTATTGCGAAATATTCTTTTAAAATCAAAGCATTTTCTTCATCCTGAAATGCAAGTCAGAACTCCTTGGTATTTTGAAGCTATGCATGATGATAGAAATGTTATGAGCTGGTGCAATTAACTTGTATATACAATGTACTGCCTCTTTAATGAAGATGTGTGATAAAATTACAACCTAAACAGATACATTTTGCCATTTAGGTTAATTCACATCATTTCAGTCTCAAATACTTTAGGTAACCATTTATTTGTTGGTTAAAATTGTCAGTATGCTTTTCTAATAACTCCTTGTCACTAAAATCATTGTTTTTAACTTTTCACAGCCGACGCAAGCTCAGTGGCAGAAAGTGTTTTTCATAACAGCTGGAATGTATGGCCTTGGGGCATTGACATTCTTGTTGTTCGCCAAGGGAGAGGAACAAGAGTGGGCTCGTAACAAGGACAAGGAGGCAGAGACCATACTTACAGAGAGCAGCGAGGAAACACTGGAGAAGAAACACTTGAGGGATCCTCTTAAAGATGACTCTATTGTCAATGCATAATCTTTAACAACTTTCCGTATAAGGCTTTGTCTGTGGACAACATGCTCACTTGTATTATATCTTAACCAGTACAGAGTAGATATAACTAGTGTACACAAATTGTATTATTAACCAGATAGAAGCCCGGTAGAATCTCTGACTTTTATAAAGTCATTAATCTTTAAGGAAGTGACACCAAATAGCAAAAAGTGTGGTTTTAAGTTAGAATGAAAAACCACATGTACATAGAAATGTTGGGGCAATAAGCTCATGAATCTGGACTCGGTCAATATTTTGGTGGTGTCACAAAACATATTAATTATTAAATTTTAGATTGATGCCCTTTCTCCTCCAAAACATAACTAAATATATATTGATTTATTTCAAATCTGTTTTCTTTCAAAAACCATTGTACAATAGCAAACCAACTGGACTACTTCCCAAAAATGTATTTAATCACATTTGTGGACATGTATCAATATATTGACCTGGTTAATGGGTTAGAAGAAATAAGGTTCAACTTTGTAGTATAATGTATGTGTAGAAGTTATTTGTTCTTTAACAGGACTTTTTTAAAGTGTTACTTCTTCAGCAGATTAAACTGAAGTATTTGCAGATCAGTCAGAAATGTTAACAGCATTATTTTTAGAGAAGTTTTTGTCAAAAACTGTCATTAAAGATGATTTATCACTAAGAGACAAAAATTCTTGTTGTGAACTTTTAAAATGTTACAATTTTGAAATACTTGTTTATTTAATTCACAATGTGTACACCCTGACACCTAAATGTTTTGATTCATCAAAGGATCTAATTTGGAGTTATGAGATTTCAAATCTCAGAAGTAATGAATTAAATTGAATGACTATTTCCTAGAATATACTATAATACTCAATATATAATGGAGTTATACAGTAAAGTACTTAGCTTTCTTATGTCCCCACTGCAAGCATGGGGGGGGCATATTGACAGCCTAAGGCTCAACTGAGTCTGTTTGATATTGTTTTTAGAATTTCTTGAATACCAGTAACATTTAGCATTTCAAGGCCTACACTGTTTTGAATCAATGAATCAATTAGGTTGATTTCTTGTCCAATATTTTAGAATTTCATTCAGAAACTGTTATGTTAGCTCATTTGCAGATATTTTGAGTGTTTTCTGAAGTGTCACTGTAATTCTAATTTCAGATGTTATATATGGTGACTCAGATATTTATTTATTTTGAATTTTAATGTTTTTACATTTTAAGACAGTCAGTTGAAGGAATCACCACAGTTTAAAGGATTCTTCTTTTGTTTAACAATCTGAAATAAACCATTGAAACATAAATCATAGAATACCTCAATATAAAGCTGGGGACATGTTACAACCTGTTGCATTGTCTATTTTTTATTATTAGGAGGCCCTTCAAGGGGCCTCCTATCATTTTTGTAGTTATTCTTCTTTATTTATTTATTTATTTATTTATTATTCTTTTTAGCATTTTTTCTCCAACTTCCAGCTAGCTTTGACTTATCTCATATATAATTTTATAAGGGACCTGGGCTGGACTTGTCGGGAAATTAGTTCATATCTAGGTCAAGGTCAAAGGTCAAAATCTAGGTCAAATCTAAGTTTTTTTCAAGTTTCTCAAATCCTGACACTACACTTCAATATTTTTGGCTGAATTTTTGCATACAGATAGATATTAGTATTCTATTAGTCTAAGCCTTTTGCCGTCTGAGAAATTTGGCCTAGATTTTGAGATATTGAAGGTCAAAAAAAGGTCAAAAAAGGTCTTTTTTCAACTTGCTTCAAATTGACCAATTTTTTTTAAAACTCATCTACAAGTTCTCAGGATTCCAGATCTGACCTTACTTTTGACCTTTGACCTTTGGTTGACCTTCAGTGACCTCCGAAAGGTCAAAAAAGTTGATTTTTCAAATCAATTTTCTGGATTCAAATTTAGGTATATTTATTCACGAAAGACCTTCTGAGGTCTAAGAAAGTAAAATTTGCAAGGTCAAAGGTCAAGGTCATCAAACGAAATCACAAACTGTGTTTTCTAAGTTTCTCAAAATTGGAGACTACAAATCAATTTTTTTTACTGAAAGTCAGAATATATATTCCTCTAAAGGTTCTACACATATTAGCAATTGACTATTTATTAAAATTTTGCTCCTGTTTTGAGATATTAGAACTCAAAAACTGAAAAAAGGTCAAATTTCGAAATTTTTCAAGGTCAAACTTCAACTTGCTCTAAATTGACCAAACTTTTTTTTAAAAAGCATCTACAAGATCTCAGGAACTCAAATCTGACCTGAGTTTTGACCTATGACCTTAAGTTGACCTTCAGTGACCTTCGAAAGGTCAAAAAAGTTGATTTTTCAAATTGATTTTCTGGATTCAAATTTAGGTTAATTCAATCAGAAAAGATATACTGAGGCCTAAAAAAGTAAAATTTTCAAGGTCAAAGTTCAAGGTCATCAAACAAGATCACAAACTGTGTTTTCTAAGTTTCTCAAAGTTTGTGACTACAAATCAATATTTTTCCATGAAAGACTGAATATATATTCATCTAAAGGTTCTACACATATTAGCAATTAATTATCTATTAAAATTTTCCACCAGTTTTGAGATATCAGAGCTCAAAAACTGAAAAAGGTCGAATTTCGAAAATTTTCAAGGTCAAATTTTAACTTGATCTAAATTCACCAAACTTTTTTTTAAAACTCATATACAAATTCTCAGGATTCCAAATCTTACCTTACTTTTGACCTTTTGTTGACCTTCAGTGACCTCCGAAAGGTCAAAAAAGTTGATTTTTCAAATCAATTTTCTGGATTCAAATTTAGGTGCATCTAATCACAAACGACCCCAAGGATCCAAAAAAGTAAAATTTGCAAGGTCAAAGGTCAAGGTCATTGAATTAAATCACAAACTGTGTTGTTCAAGTTTCTCAAAATTGGTGACTACAAATCAATATTTTTTGATGAAAGTCTGAATATATATTCCTCTAAAGGTTCTACACATATTAGCAATTGATCATCTTTTAAAATTTTGCACCAGTTTTAAGATATTAGAGCTCAAAAACTGAAAAGGTCAAATTTCGAAAATTTTCAAGGTCAAATTTCAACTTGATCTAAATTGACCAAACTTTTTTTTAAAACTCATCTACAAGTTCTCAGGATTCCAAATCTTACCGTACTTTTGACCCTTGGCCTTTTGTTGACCTTCAGTGACCTCCGAAAGGTCAAAAAAGTTGATTTTTCAAATCGATTTTCTGGATTAAAATTTAAGTGCATTTAATCACAAAAGACCCGAAGAGGTCCAAAAAAGTAAATTTTGCAAGGTCAAGGGTCAAGGTCATTGAATTAAATCACAAACTGTGTTTTCCAAGTTTCTCAAAATTGGTTACTACAAATCAATATAGTTTAATGAAAGTCTAAATATATATTCCTCCACTTTTTCTTCACATATTATCATTTGATTATCTATTAAAATTTTGCACCAGTTTTGAGATATAAGAGCTCAAAAACTGAAAAAGGTCAAAATTTCGAAAATTTTCAAGGTCAAATTTCAACTTGATCTAAATTGACCAAACTTTTTTTAAAACTCATCTACAAGTTCTTAGGATTTCAAATCTTACCTTACTTTTGACCTTTTGTTGACCTTTAGTGACCTCCGAAAGGTCAAAAAGTTGATTTTTCAAATCGATTTTCTGGATTCAAATTCAGGTGTATTTAATCACAAAAGAGGTCCAAAAAAGTAAAATTTGCAAGGTCAAAGGTCAAGGTCATCAAACTAAATCACAAACTGTGTTTTCTAAGTTTCTCAAAATTGGAGACTACAAATCAATATTTTTTCATGAAAGTCAGGATATATATTCCTCTATAGGTTCTACACATATTAGCAATTGACTATTTATTTAAATTGTGTACCAGTTTTGAGATATTGGAACTCAAAAACTGAAAAAAGGTCAAATTTCGAAACTTTTCAAGACTAAATTTCAACTTGCTTCAAATTGACCAATTGTTTTTTTAAAACCCATCTACAAGTTCTCAGGATTCCAAATCTAACCTTACTTTTGAACTTTGACCTTTGGTTGACCTTCAGTGACCTCCGAAAGGTCAAAAAAGTTGATTTTTCAAATCGATTTTCTGGATTCAAATTTAGGTATATTTATTCACAAAAGACCTTCTGAGGTCTAAAAAAGTAAAATTTGCAAGTTCAAAGGTCAAGGTCATCAAACGAAATCACAAACTGTGTTTTCTAAGTTTCTCAAAATTGGAGACTACAAATCAATATTTTGAAATGAAAGTCAGATTATATATTCCTCTACTAAAGGTTCTACACATATTAGCAATTGATTATCTATTAAAATTTGGCTCCAGTTTTGAGATATTATAGCTCAAAAACTGAAAAAAGGTCAAATTTCGGAATTTTTCAAGGTCAAATTTCAACTTGCATTAATTCGACCAAACCTTTTTTAAAAATCATCTACAAGTTGTCTGGAGTTCATATATGACCTTGTATTAGAGATTTGACCTTTGGCTGGCCTTTGAATGTTCAGAAACGAATATAGGGCCTTCGTAAGATTGCTTGCAATCTTAGATCGTTCGATCTCTAGTTATTTATTCTTCTCTGCACTTTTTCTCCTACTTCTAACTAGATTTCAACTATCTACTATATGAACCTACTAGGGACCTAGGTTGAACTTACCGGGAAAGGAATTTTTATCTAGGTCAAGGTCAAAGGTCAAAATCTAGGTCAATCTTGATCACAAAAGACCCACTGAGGTCTAAAAAAGTAAAATTTGCAAGGTCAAAGGTCAAGGTCATCAAACTAAATCACAAACTGTGTTTTCTAAGTTTCTAAGTTTTGGTGACTACAAATCAATATTTTTTCATGAAAGTCAGGATATATATTCCTCTATAGGTTCTACACATATTAGCAATTGACTATTTATTAAAATTGTGTACCAGTTTTGAGATATTAGAACTCAAAAACTGAAAAAAGGTCAAATTTCGAAACTTTTCAAGACTAAATTTCAACTTGCTTCAAATTGACCAAATTTTTTTTAAAACTCATCTACAAGTTCTCAGGATTCCAAATCTGACCTTACTTTTGACCTTTGACCTTTGGTTGACCTTCAGTGACCTCCGAAAGGTCAAAAAAGTTGATTTTTCAACTCGATTTCTGGATTCAAATTTAGGTATATTTATTCACAAAAGACCCACTGAGGTCTAAAAAAGTAAAATTTGCAAGGTCAAAGGTCAAGGTCATCAAACGAAATCACAAACTGTGTTTTCTAAGTTTCTCAAAATTGGAGACTACAAATCAATTTTTTTTACTGAAAGTCAGAATATATATTCCTCTAAAGGTTCTACACATATTAGCACTTGACTATTTATTAAAATTTTGCTCCAGTTTTGAGATATTAGAACTCAAAAACTGGAAAAAGGTCAAATTTCGAAATTTTTGAAGGTCAAATTTCAACTTGCTCCAAATTGACCAAATCTTTTTTTTAAAAGCATCTACAAGATCTCAGGAACTCAAATCTGACCTTAGTTTTGACC